ATAGGCATCATTTTATGCAAACATATTTAGGTATCTATTTTTTCCCCCTTTTACTAATGTTACATGTTACACAGATTTTCCATTTCTATGTTGAGGCAAAAAAGATTGCTTCCCAAGATTGGTGAAAAACTGCCACAAACAGAGCAGGGCTGGGAGAAGGGCCAGTCCCCCCTCCCCCCACAGGGACCAGGAGAGTAAAGCTAGGGGCATGCTAGAGCTAGAGTATGATGCTAACTTTTAGTTTTTATAAAATCCTCAAATGCTTGGCTTATAATGCTTAAGAAAGTCAACCCACATTATTATTCATTCACCTTAAGAACTTTTTTGCTTGCCCTAACTCCTCAAATCCCAAATCAAAGCACAGGGCACAAGTTTTGCAAAAACAGCTCTCTGCAAACTTCTAAGCCATAATCCCTTGACTTACATAAGAGGGTGTGTAAGCAACAGACCAGTTGGGGCAGATTTGAAAGTCCCAGCTCTGCCACTCACTCCTGTGTCATTCCTGTAACTGAACTCAAATGGGCTGAATGCATGCTAGGTAGAAAGAGCAATTTTTTTAAAAAATTTTATTCTCCCCCCCCCCTTTTTTTTGAGACAGAGTCTCGCTTTGTTGCACAGGCTAGAGTGAGTGCCATAGCGTCAGCCTAGCTCACAGCAACCTCAAACTCCTGGGCTCAAGCAATCCTGCCTCAGCCTCCCAACTAGCTGGGACTACAGGCAGCCACCATGCCTGGCTAATTTTTTCTATATATATTAGTTGGCCAATTAATTTATTTCTATTTATAGTAGAGAAGGGGTCTCGCTCTTGCTCAGGCTGGTTTCGAACTCCTGACCTTGAGCTATCCACCTGCCTTGGCCTCCCAGAGTGCTAGGATTTGAGCCACCGCGCCTGGCATTTCCTCTCCTTTTTAAGGGGTCTCACTATGTTGCTGAAGCTGGCCTCATACCATCTTCCCCGCCTCTGCCTTCCAAGTAGCAGAAAGCACAATTTTGAAAAAAGCCAGAGACCATATATTCACAAGCCAGAGGAGCACACATGTGACGTGCTCGGGACAAGGGCTGTACAGAGACGAGTGGTTCCTAAGGGAAAGAGGGATATCTCTCCATTCGACTGAAAGTGGATTGACAAAAAGGATCAGAGAGAAAAGCAGTGCACTAAACACATGCACGTTTCCATGGGACCACTGGACTATTGGCTTTTCGAGAGAAGTGGGGAGTCACACAGAGTGAGACCCTAGTGAGGACCCAATCCTACTTGATCCTGGATGAGGTTTAGTTGTAGAGCACGACCAGCTTGTATAAGCACGGATTCAGGAACACTCATCCAGTTTAAACTGAAAATCCAGCAGAATTTAAGGAAGACGGGGCCTGATATGACACCTAGAACTAATGTTAACTTTTAAGACTGAAGAGTCCAACCGAGAAGACGTTAGCGATCCGCAGAGACTGGCACGTGCTCCTGTGGCCGAGTTGTCTCCGTGGTCCGCAGCCCCCGGCGCTGTGGGGAACCGGGCTGCTCCTCCGTGGGACCCAGGACCCACCTCTCCTCCGTGCCTTGGGTGCCCTGTCCTCTTCGCCATCTCTAGGTTCTCCCAGCCCCAGTTCATTCATTCCAACTAGCACACAAACATGCTGTGCTAGTTCTTTAAAAAGAAAAAAAACAAGGGCTAGGTGCGGTGGCTCACACTCTGGGAGGCCAAGGTGGGCGGATTGCTCAAGGTCAGGAGTTTAAAACCAGCCTGAGCAAGAGCAAGACCCCGTCTCTACGTCTCTACTATAAATAGAAATTAATTGGCCAACTAATATATATACAAAAAATTAGGCGAGTATGGTGGCACATGCCTGTAGTCCCAGCTACTTGGGAGGCTGAGGCAGGAGGATCACTTGAGCCCAGGAGATTGAGGTTGCTGTGAGCTAGGCTGGCGCCAGGGCACTCACCCTAGCCTGGGCGACAAAGTGAGACTGTCTCAAAAAAAAAAAAAAAACAACAAAAACAAGACCTCTCCTTAGCCCTATATGCCCTTCCAGTTACCCAGTTTATCTTCTCCCCTTTACAGTACAAATCTCAGAAAGAACTGTCTGTACCCACTGTTTCTTTCACCTCCCTCTCCCGTCTCACTCGCGCTTGGACCTACTCTCCAGTGAGACTTTCTTCTGCACACTCGAGACAACAGCTGCTCACCAATGACTTTGCTAGGGGCCGGGCCCTCCTGGAGCCTGGGAGTCTGGAAGGAGCCCCTAGGCATGCAGAGGCCAGCCACTTCCTTTCTTAGAACTGTGCTACTTTCAGGGAACATACTCTGCTGTTCCTCTCTAATTCTGCTTCTCAAAGACTGGCCCCCACAATGGCAGCACTGCCGTCACCTGGACGAGTATTAGAAACGCAGACTCTCAGGCCCCAGCCCAGCCGTAGGCAACCTGGGAGTTAGTGTGACCCCCAGGTGGCTGTGGTGTACATCAGAGTTGAAGAAGCGTGGCTTCAAACCCTCTAATTCTGGCTCCAGTGTCGGAAATCCAGTTGCCTACACGTGGAAGCCACATTCTCAGCGGTTTTATCAGTAATAAAGGTGAAATTTTCTTCCCTCGTCCATCTTATTGTTTCTCAAATGGTCTGAGATTGGGGGAAAATAATGATATTCACTAGCTCCCTCAAACTTCCTACATCTTCCAGTTGCCAACCCCGTGGTCCCTGTTCCGTCCTTATTTTAACCCGTCAGCCACACTGGCCACAGCGGTCACCTCCTGCAGCTACGGCACTTCCTTCACCTGGTTGCCAAGTGTCACCGTCCCTCCACAGGCCACTCCTCTTCCTCTTGGCTGGACTGTTCTCTCTCCCTGACCTCAGTCCTTGCTCTTCCGTGCCAGCCACACGCACTCGGCAGGGCACCCACCTGGGCCTCTACGTCCCCACCACTCTCCTGGAATCCAAATGGTTTATCCAGCTGCTTCACTGACCTCACATTCCAGCAGAAATGCTGGCATCTGAAACTGAACATGACCAAAACCAAATTCTTTATTCAGTACCACCTCAGCTGTCCTTAAACCAATGGTCTTCACCTTAGCAAACTGCAACACTGTTCTTTCCACTCAGCCACGTGTCCTTCTAGTTTCTGTCCGACTCTGCATGCAGTCTCTCAGCAATCTGTGTTAGCTCTAACTTCAAAATGTACCCCAAATCTGACCACTCCTCCCCGCCAGTACTGCTCACCGCTCCTACCTTGGTCTAAGCCACCATCATCTACCCTGGATATTGGGATAACAATCTCCTACTTTGTCCCCTTTTCCCACTCTTGTCCCTGCCTGAACACACAGCCTGTTTTCCACTCAGCAGTCAGAATGGTCTTTTTTTTAAAAAAGAGACAGGATCTCATTGTGTTGCTCATGCTGGAGGGCAGTCGTACAGTTAGAACTCACTACAGCATCAAACTCCTGGACTCAAGAGATCCTACCACCTCAGCCTCCTGAGTAGCTGGGATTACAGGCACACACCACCATGCCTGGCTAAGGTTTTTTTTTTTTTCCACTTTTTTATAGAGACAGAGTTCTACTATTCTGTCCAGGCTGGTCTTGAACTTCTGGCCTCAAGCAATCCTCTGGCCTCAGCCTCCCAAAGTGCTGGAATTATAGGCGTGAGCCACGGAACCTAGCCTGTTTGTGTTTTTAAAAGACTATTCTGGGCCAGGTGCTGTCGCTCACTCCTGTAATCCCAGCACTTTGCGGGGCTAAGGAGGGAGCATCGCTTGAGGCCAGGAATAGCCTGGGAAACAGAGCAATACCGTGGTCTCTACAAAAAATAGAAAACTTAGCTGGGCATGGTGGCACGAACCCATAGTTCTGTCTACTTGGGAGGCTGAGGCAGGAGGATCGCTTGAGCCCAGGAGTTTGAAGATGCAGTGAGCTATGATGATGCCACTGTACTCTAGCCTGGGCAACACAGTGAGACCCTGAGTAAAAGAAAAAGAAAAGAAGGAAAGAAAGAAGGAAGGAAAGAAGGAAAGAGGAAGAAGAGAAAGACAAAGAAAAGAAAGACACAAACACACCCTGTGACTCCCTGCTCAAAAGCCTCCAGTGGCTTCCCATTTCACTCTGAAGAAATTCAGAGTCCTCACCCGAGCTCTGAATCACCCAGTCCCTGGCTACTTTCTGATGTTTTCTATTGCTCTCCCCCTTAACAACAAACACCAGCATCCTTACTATTTCTGGAATCAACTAAGGACACTGAGGCCTTAACTTCTCTACTTGGAGACCTCTTTACCTAGGGATTGACTGGCATGACTGACCCCACCCTCTAATTCCGGAGTCTGCAAATGTCACCTGAGAGAGGCCTTCCCTGACCACATGATCTAAACAAACACATCCTTCTCATTTTCCTCTCTAATCTCTTATTGAGCTTTATTTTCTTCTGTAATACTTACCACTTGGAAGTCAGACATTTGTTTGACAAATGTCTTCCCCACTGGATGGGAGGCCCCAAGTGCACGGGCTTGCTGTGTGTGCTGCTGTCATGGCACCCACAAGGCACACCAGGCGCAGGTGGGCATCAAACGTCTGTTGAACGAATCACTGCCTTCTGCCTGAGTGCTGCTTCTGCCTCCCTTCTTCTGTTTCTCCCAAAATACCCAAGACAGTGGTCCCTGATCATGCTCTGTTCACAACGGGGGCTTGTTAAGCTGACACACTGAAATTTTCAAATCCCAATCCCCCCAAAAAACCACAACATTATAGAATCATTGGTAGGTATACAAAGAGAGGCTTCAGGAGAAAAAAGACAAATCTTACAGACAAATCTTACAGCCACTTACATATTTGGGAGAAAAGAAACCCTACCACATTAGCTTTCTTTATACTAAAAACCACTGTTTTGAATATAAGAAAGGGACATGTAAGTGATGGCATCATGACTTTAGGTCTGAGAAAGGTATTATCTTTGCAAGTCAAGAAAAGAAATATTTGTGTAATTACCTTTCAAAGGGTGCAAGAATAAACACACATCAAGAGCCTTCTGATGCACTGGTTGTACCTTTATTATTTTTACCTCGTTCACTAATAGTTCCGTGATGCAAGGTTACCATACACAGTTAGATAATGTCTGCATTGCACATCTAAGGCTATACAGCAAAAGAATCAGAATTAGTACAAATACAAGAACTATATTTACATTCTGTATACTCAAGCTCCAAACATCAGATAGTATTTACAAAATAAAACATGAAAATGAAAATCCAAAATTAATAATGTACATTGTTGCTAATGTACTCAACTCCTTCACTGGGGAGAGATCAGTTTGCAAAGTCTTGGTTCAAAAAGGCCACTTATGCATCATGGGTTTTGTTGTAGTGTGCAAGGATGGTGACAAGAGACTTGAAATCTCAACAGACAAGTACTTTAGAGCCACAAAGTCTAAGACAATGCCTTAAATACCAGAAGGCCAATGGATTCCTCAGGTGAACTGATGCCAAAACACGCAGCATGAAAAAAATTAACTTGAAGACATGAAAAACAACACACAACAGCCAGGGTTTGGCAAGAGACCAATCGCAGCTCAGACTTTCCATCTGAGCACAGCCCTTTGGCTGTGAGTTTTTAACATGAATTTTGTATCAACTCTAATTTCTTCCTTTAAATAATTGGAGGCTTTAAGATTTCAAGGGGCTCAAATACTAATTTCATAAATGGCCTTTTGAACAACAGCAAATAATCTCTCAGCTGATATTTCAGTTATTAAGGATGCACTGATTAATACCTTCCTGCTACATACAGTCATGGTCTGGCCCACACGCTTGGGTGTATCAGCAGGCGTGTGGACAGCCGTAGTGCACACGAGTTAAGAGTCCTACCTAAACACATTCAGCAAACCTTCCAAGAGCAGCAGAATTAGTCTTTTCTTTTTAAGAAGCAGGTTAATAATCACATTTTCAAACGGGAACCAAAAGGAAAACTCAAGGACCCAAGTCAAACAGAGAAGCCCCGATCCTGTCCATCAGAACCCGAGTGGAACGCAGCCCGGGACATGCAGGAGTACCGACAGGCGCCAGCCACGAGAGCGCGCTTCCTCTTCCGGCCCACTGCGCAGTTCAGTGCAGCTATATACATAACCTTACACAATTAAATATCCCTGTAAATTAGACAAGCAGCAGGAAACAAAGTCTTTGCTTTGAAATATGTGCCAGGAAAAGTCATCTTGTTCTTAGTCCCCAAAGACCTTCACAATGATTTATTTTTTCATCTTAAACAGGCTGAAAAATTCATCAAAAATAAGAGTAGTTATGTAAATTCTATGTACCTGAAGGGAAAAATATCTCAAATAATAGTGGTTTCTTAGTTTGGGAAACTCATTGCATTCTCTCTTGCCTTCACCACGCTTGAACAACGTGCTGCAGCTCGTGGCCCTGTGCTCGTGGGCAGGTGCGCGGGCTGGCAGACCCGCACAGGTGGCCGAGAGCTGCCCGGCTCCCGGCGGCACACGGACAGGCGCGCGAGCACTGGCTGGCTGCGGGGCTGCGTTCTGCTTTGGCAGGAGAAAGGCAGATGAGGGATGAGGGAAGGAGAAGATAATTAGCTTTAATCAGCACTCATTTCTCTTCATTTGTGAATGTTTTTTTTTCTTGTCTTTTTCATTCTTTGTTTAAAGGAGTGCTTTGAGAAAAATAAATAAAAAGCCACCTTAAAAGGTGGTTTCCTTAACGATTCCTTACCTTTCCCACCACTATAGCTACAGCAGCCTCATAAATAGTTCCTGCCACAAATCCTCTCTTAGAGCTTCAAAGTGGGGACGGCCCTGTCGGAAAGGGAACATCCATCCCCAAAGTGCTGGGGAACCGACAGGGCTCTCTGCCCTGCAGCCACCGCAGAGGCTCCTCAGTCAGGGCAGACGCCCGCCGGAGCCCCCCTGAGGACACGACCTGCTTCCTCGTGCTTCCTAACAAGGCCTTATCCTGGCACGTAATGACCACACAGTCCACGGTGGCTCGTTCTCATGTCCGGCACTTCCAAAGCAAAGACTTTCCAAACCAGTTGTGTTTGTGTTAGAAGAAAAACAAAAGTCATTTCAGTATATCGTGTGATCTCACTCTCCCTCAGGCTTCTTCCCCGCCCGGTCACAGACATGGGTCCTCTGTCACACTTCATAACAGCAGCAACATCAGTGATTTCATTTTGAAATGACCTTCAAATTCCATCTTCATTTCCCTGAAATTAGATTTAACTCCAGTCCAGCAAGCCATCTCAAAGCGCCGACAGATCCTGCTGGATTTGAACGTACACTAGAAGGGCATAGTGTGTCCATTAGACGATGAGGAAATGTCCACCTACATTAAACGGCTCACATACCACTTAGAAAACAAATAACATTAGAGTCAGGGAGAGAGTTTAAAAAAATCCACCACAGAGTTTTCTTGATCCCTTTGCAGCCGAGGACACAGTCTGTGATTTCGACCCCTTCCTTTGTTCAGCTCTCCATGACTTGTTTTGCCTCCTCTTTGCAAGGCAGCTCTAATGGGCAAGACCGGAGACTGGTTCTTCAGAGAGGACCCTAGCCAGGAAGCCAGAAACAAGGGTCTGGGTGCCAGCATGTCTCCCCGGCAACGACTCTGCAGAGGGGCACGAGCCCCTGGCCCTCCCTGCCTCACTGCGTGAGTGGAAAGTGAGCCGCTGCCGGTCACCTGAGAGCCAGCAGCAACCTCAGGGCCAAGAACCCTCAAGGCCTCACAAAGTGGGGGTGAGCAGATACTTTCATGAGAGCCCGAGCGAAGATGAAATAGAGGGGTCTGAGCAAAGGAAGGAGAGAATGGTGAAAAACAACCCCAAGTCAATTGGCCAAGCAACTGAAGTGACTTGGAGGCTTTCTGTTCCCTGTGTGATCCTGTAAAACTTACTGGTCACTGAAAGAGAAAGAGTTATCTTCTGTGATGGTTTCCGGAAGCCAGGCGGCCCTGGTCTGTCAGCAGCAAGGCTTCCTCCATCCTTTGCTGGGTGAACTTTCTGGCCTGGCTGGAGAGGAGACTGCAGCAAAGGACGAAAGACGCAACGCTTTTCCTTGCCCCTGGGGATCTTGTTTTGTTTGGGGTGATGGCAGGAGGTTGGTTTTCATCCTGGGATCCAGAGAGCAAAGCCTGCCATGTTTGCTTACTTTTGAGTACAGGAAGGTAAGCATCATTGAAAGCATTTTCGATTTGACAAGCATCACTGAAAACAACCACTGGGTTGATTCAGAGGGAGACTTCCACGTTTATAATTGAAAGCTACAATTCTTTGATCAAAGGGAGCTACAATAATCACAACATCACTACTCAGCACTGTCTTAATTATGAGAATGACTGTCAAGTTTATCACCAGAAAGTGAAATACTCCCCCTCGTGGAACATTTGTGTATGACATCGCACCAATTCCAAACTGTACCATTACCACTAATGCCAAGAACAGAACTGAGGAACTTCTAAGAAGAGCCTCCCTCCCAACACAGAAAAAACCGTTTTCAGAAATCCTGCTGTGAGGACTATGAGCATCTGACTGGCGGCCACCTTCACGGCCCACTGCCAAATCCTGTGGTCCCTGACATCCGCTGGCTGTATCTGTGCTCTTCCCTTCTCACAGGGTCTCCAGCAGCTACTGCCCCAGACCTGCTGAAAAGTCCTCTCTTCCAGTAAATCAAAGTTCCATAACCATACTCTGAATAAGCCCCAATTTCGACTCAGAGAATATAATTGTCCCATTTCTAAGCTCACCACCACCTTTTCCCTGAATGGAAATGCAGGGATCAGCCACGGCAAAAAGAGACAGAATGGAAGAAAAGATTAAGTTTTTCTTCTCAGGTTCTAAAAAGGCCAGAAATCTCCTCCTTAGTCTCTAAGCCACCCAAGAAAAATTAAAGTGATATCACAAACAGAAGAGAAACAAAAAGCATTATGTTGTCTTGAGAAACAGAAAAAGGTATCCAAAGACAGCAGCACAGACATCAGAGGTGGTCAGTATGGGGACCTTTCATACAAAAGGAAGCCAAAATACACCAAAATGCAATTTGGAGATTCGCTAGATCCCTCAGGGTTTTTTTTATGTCTCTGTGTGTGTGTGTGTTTTTTAATCTTTTTTTCCTTTTGTTAGGTCACATGCTACTAAGAAGATTCTCAGCACAGAAGAAAAGAAGAGTACAGAGCAATGGAGATGGGGAACAGGAGGGCTAGAAAAGTGCCTGACGGGGGGAGCAGTTAGCCACAGGTCACAGACAAGAGTCACCGTAAAGAATCACAAAGAGAAATGAGACGTAGCACTTTCTTTCTCTTGAAGGCGAGTGAGGGCACTCCGCAGAGTCACTTAGTATTTCGGCTGGCTTGGGCATCTGCGGGAGAGCTTTGACCTATGGGGACAAATGGGGAGGCAGGATTAGAAACAGGTGGCCTCCTCACAGTCTTTCCCTCTGAGGCTCCCTCCTGCAACTCCTTCCTGTTTGGCACCGCAGGCCCAGGTTTCTAGGCTCCCTACTCTGTGACCCTGTGACACAAGCCCCTCCTAGGATCTGAGGCTGGATCACTGAGCTGCATGTTGGTCCCCTAGACCCCACCTGCAGACCTCTTGAGGACAAAAAGACAGAGAAGGAGATTACTCAGTACGAATGTGACCAGAGTCTCCTTAGCGGTTCAGGACACAAGATGGTATCCTATGAGAAACGAGCCTCATTACCACCCCACGAACACACTACATTCCTGTCTTTCTTCTATTTTAAACTTATTTAGAACAATACTTGTTTTCCTATAAATGCTGATATCTCTGGGGCCAAAAGCCAAGAAGAGAAAAGAAACACGAAACAACTTCTTACCGTATTGTGCCAGCAAGAAGTGGGTTGAAAGCATACAACCAGTCGTTCATGTCTTTGTCATTGAGAGCCTGCAAAAGGACCCCACGGTGCTTGGTACAGACAGCAAAAGTGTTAGGTGTCTGAAAGAAACACAGGTAGATGAGAATATTACTACAGAGACTGAGCAAGGGGAACCTCCTTGCCTTATTCACAAGGCACACACACTTCATGCTGAAAGTTCAAGGAGACCAGACAGGAAGGAGAGACTCCACGACATACATCAGGGAGCTGGAAACTCAAGAGGGAAGGGCACGTGTGGCAATGACACGCCGACACAAGGCAGACTGACCTTCAGCATGGCCTGCTGGTCCTCGCTGTACTCCACCTGTGCTGTGGACAGGTTAATGATCCCACGTTCCACTGGGTCTTTGTCACTGTTATAGATGAAGACGTAAGGGCGGCGGACCACAACGAAATGTTTAGCCCAGTTGCTGGAAAGTGGCTCCTTGAAATGCAGGTATCCTTTCTTAGAGACCACTGAGCTAAAAAGGGCAGTACCAAAGAAGAGAAGTTAGTTTCTCACAAAAAGAAAATGATCATGAGCTGAGGACCATCAAAATACATCTTGCCCAGGGCAAGTACCCAGATTCAACAAAACAGGCAAGTGATCTATTTGTCCTAGAATCTTCTCTGCCAAGTACTATAGCAAGAGAGCAAAAAGATGCCACAGCAACATGCTATGCCAGGATGGAGATGCAGTAACTGGAGCAGAAACCCATCCCAGCTCTTTCACCCCAGACTCAACGTGCATTAGACCATAATTTAGACCGCACAGAGAGGAGCGAGAAGTAAATTCGTCTTGCTGATTTGTTTTTATACCCAGCATCCCTGGTCAATATACTACTCACCCTGGTCTAATTTCTTCAATATCTGGAACAAGATTGAGAAATTCATTTTTTCCTGCTCGGGCCAAATAGGGCGTTTCCAAAGCTGGGACAATCTGAAACTGTTCAAATTCTGTGCAAGGACTAGAGGCCCGGGAATTGGCTTCTGGGGTCCTTTAAAAGAGAGAGAGGTGAGGAAGAAAGGGGTAATGAGTTTCAGTCAGGGTCAGGCATGTTGTGCACACCATCTCACCGGGAGAAACACAATGCCACTCCCTGAGCACCAGCTGCAAACTTCAGTTTCAGAGAGCTCAGCTGAGAAGACAAGATGGTGTCAAAAAGTTAATTCTGAATTCCACTGGTGTCAGCCTTCAAAAGTTACAAAGGGAAATTTATCACCATGACCATCGAGTGACATAGTCCCTCTTCCTATTTTAAAGCCCTCTGGACAGAAGTATCTGAAATATGAATTCTAGTCCTTATTTGTTTCCTTTTAGTCTCATGGTCACACCTAGGGCAGTGGTTCTCAAAGTGTGGTCCCCGACTAGCAGCAATCACGTAGGAAACTGTTAGAGATTCAGATTCTCAGACTCCAACCCAGACCTAGAGAACAAGCAAGCCTGGGTGGGGTTTAGCTGTCTGTGCCCTAACAAGCCTCCCAGGGGACGAGGATGCATGCTAACATCTGGCCCGCTGTCTCAGAGAGTGGCAGAGAAAGCAAACAAATGGGAGAATCCAGGCACCAGAACGGCCACACAGCACAGAGCTGGACCGCTGGCCTGGAACACCGACCCAGACCAGTCCTCAGGACCGTGGTGTGAGAAACAAATGCCTATGCTCGACATTGTTAGGTATCTTTCTAGAGCAGGTTAGCCAAATTAACTATATCTCACTGATTCTAAAAAGCCCAATTTTTGTACTTTACCATTTCTTAAATTGAGAAACCCTCTTCCAATTGCTGGCAAGTTGAATTCAGTTGGCAAATACTTTTTCTCTCTTAGTGGCACACAAAATATTCTCTTACAGTTGATGGCACACTAACTTTAATGAAATTACCTGGCTGTGTTATTTTCTTAGCTATTGTTGCTGAGAAAATGTCAGTGTGGTACACTAATACAGACAGGTGAGTGATAACCAGGTAGGTTTCGACAGGTGAGCGTAAGGAATGGAGATGCATAGGAGTTTGAGGGTACATTGCAGAGAAGTGATTAAGAGGATGAATCATGGACTCTAGGCTAAATTTGTCTTTATTTTTCTTACCTATATATTTTGGTATAGCAGCAAAATATTTTTTCCCTAGTAGTTTCAAAATATTTTCCCACTATGAGACTTCCTATGTCTGGTACTATGACTGGGGAGCTAAGCAGGGGTAGGAGTAGAGGACAAAATGAGCAGAAAGGGATTAAGAAGAAAGGGAGGAGTCAATGCTCTGATGCAGATGCAATGGTGAGGCACGGCAAGAACGTCTCTCCAGTCACAGTGGTGCCCACAAAAGGCTCTCACACATTTCTGAATGCTGCCTGGGGGGACAGTGCTGCCTCTAGTCAAGAACCACTGAGTTAGAGGAAGGCTGACTTTCTTTTCTTCTTTTTTTTAAATTTCAAAATATTAAAGGGGTATAAATGTTTTGTTACATGGATACCTTTTAGAATGCTTAAGTTGGGGCTTTTAATGTGCCCATCACCTGAAAAAGTGTTCATTGTACCCAATATGTAAGTTTCTACCCCTCCCTCCTCCCCACCTCTTGGTTTCCAATGACCTTTACATCTCTGTGTGCCCATGTGTGCCCTTTGATTAGCTCCCAATTATTAGTGAGAACATGTGGTGCTTGTTTTTCCATTCCTGAGATACTTCACTTAGGATAATGGTCTCTAGTTCCACCCAAATTGCTGCAAAAGACATTATTTCATTCCTTTTTATGTCTGAGCAGTACTTTATGGTACATATATAGACCACATTTTCTTAATTCAGTCATGGAAGGTTGACTTTTTCCTTAGTTCTTAAATTAGCTTCTCTCAGTAAAATCCAGGTATTATACTAACTTCTGATCCAGAGAGTTGCTCCTAGACTCTACCAGAGAGGGGCAGGTGGAGGAGGGAGTGAGGGTAGCACTGCTGAAACTGGACTCAGAGGGGTCCCGTCCAATTGGAGAGATATCAGACAACTAGAAGGAAATAGAAACACAGTTAATGAGCTAATTCAGCTGAAAAAAGCTGCTTCTGCAATAGGGAGCTGTAATGACCAGTGTCTCACTTTCACAGATCTCCTGTTGCATAGGGTCATTCAAGAAAACAAGCCTACAGGCCGGGCGCAGTGGCTCACACCTGTAATCCTAGCACTCTGGGAGGCCGAGGCGGGCGGATTGCTCGAGGTCAGGAGTTCCAAACCAGCCTGAGCAAGAGCGAGACCCACGTCTCTACTATAAATAGAAAGAAATTAATTGGCCAAGTAATAAATATATAGAAAAAATTAGCAGGGCATGGTGGCGCATGCCTGTAGTCCCAGCTACTTGGGAGGCTGAGGCAGGAGGATCGCTTGAGCCCAGGAGTTTAAGGTTGCTGTGAGCTAGGCTGACGCCACGGCACTCACTCTAGCCTGGGGAACAAAGCGAGACTCTGTCTCAAAACAAAAAAAAACAAGCCTACACATACAATTATTATTATCTGTCAATAAGTAAAAGAAAAATTAAAAAGAAAACAACAACAACAAAGAAAACAAGCCTGTGAATATTTATGGCCTGTGGGACACATCAGGAATCAAAACATTTGTGCAAGAGGCAAGGCTGGCTTTTTATATTGCTACTTCCCTCCTGCATTAATTAAATAGCCTTACATATGTGGGCCAAGCACCTACCATGAGCCACGCATTGTTCTAAGAATATGGCAGAGGTCCTGCCCTCTTGGAGCTTAGGGTAGACAACCACTCAACAAGCGCTTAAAAAAGTCTCAGGCAGTAATAAGTGCTGCAGGAAAAAAATAAAGCGGGGGGTGGTGGTGGTGGTGGATAGAAAGTCTCAGCTATCAGCTTTGTATCAGGAGGTCAAGAAAGTTCACTCCAAGAAGTCACTGTTTGAGTAGAAAAATGAAAGAAATAAGGGAGCCAGCCACAAAACTGTCCGGAAGGAAGCTATTCCAGGCAAAGGAGGCTATTCCAGGCAAAGGAACAGTGTGAAGCGACCCCAAGGCAGGAAGGAGATGGGTGTGTTTAAGGTCCAGCTGACTAGAACCATGAGAATAACACAGAAGTTCTCTGATGTGTCCACCTGACTCTGTTGAAGGTAACAAAACTTTATGCCATCAAGAACCTTAGGATGTCCTTTGCCCTGTCGTAGAGTAATGTACCACCTCCCTAGAATATTTTTCTCCAAGAGATTCAGAGAAAAGCCAAAATGTTTCCCATGTGATAATCACTCTAAGAGACACAGAGGAATACTTTTACCTTCAGAGTCAGTATTCTGAGTCTGAAAAATCAGAATAAATATCAGAGCAGAATGTCATAAATCTTTAAATACAAAGCTATGCCCCTCTTAAGCCACTGAAAAGCACCTTGTTGTTTCCTAAAAGCAGCAAAGCTGGGCTGCTGTGAAAATCAGTCACCAACACACTGACTAAAACTTATGGCTTCAACACACTCACCTTACAGTCACTGATGCTGCCATGCACCTGGCTGAATTCTCTGTTGAAAGTGTGGGTGAGAAGTTGCAGGCACTAGAGAAGAGAAAGAGAAGTGTAAAGGCTGGGCTCAGTGGCTCACGCCTGTAATCCTAGCACTCTGGGATGCCAAGGCAGTAGGATCACTTGAGATCAAGAGTTCGAAACCAGCCTGAGCAATAGGAGGACCCCATCTCTACAAAAAAATAGAAAAATTAGCCAGGTGTGGTGGCGCATGCCTGTAGTCCCAGCTACTTGGGAGGCTGAGGCAGGAGGATCACTTGAGCCTAGGAGTTTGAGGTTGCAGTGAGCTATGGTCATGCCACTGCACTCTATCCCAGGCAACAGAGTGAGACCCCATCTCGGGGGAAAAAAGAGACAGAAGTATAAGATGAACATGAAATTTCAATGGCTAGCAGCTTCTGGATAGCTGAACACATTGAGGGTCCTGGAGGGTAGCGAGCCTGGGAGGGCATGAAAGCGTCACATCGCTTCTCCCTGTGCATCCCTTCCACCTGGCTGTGCATCTGTATCCTTTGTATCAACCTTTATAATAAACCAGTAAACATATAAAAAACATTTTTTTCCAATGACTAAACAAAGCGTTGGATGCAAGACAGGGGAGGAAATAACATGCCTAAAACCCACAATGGAACTCAGATGTTGCCCAAACAGTTCTAGAAATTAACTAAGTATAGAGTGAGGAAAGTTCAGCATATGTCTAATAAAGATAATACTAATAAAACAAGTGGATCAAAAAGTCATTCTCAAGACTACAAAAGTGAATTACTACCAACACTATAGTTTAGAAGTGCTTAAAATGTAATAGCACTCCTTTAATTCATTCATTCTTTTTTTTTTTTTTTAAGAGACAGGCTTTTCCTAAGTTGCCAAGGCTGAACTTGAACTCCTGGGCTCAAGAGATCCTCCCGCCTCTGTCTCCTGAGTAGTTGGGACTACATTTATACACCACCATGCCTGGCCACCCATTTAATTCTCAATTCACTCTGGTGCTAAATGATATAGAGACTTCTGGAGAGACATATTTTCCTGAATAAACTAAAAGACCATTTGATTATTAAGACATCTCATTTTTATATTTTCTTTTTAGCCCGCTGACCAGAACTATACACCTGGGTGTCACACTCAACATGCCCTCTGCCTTTTCCTGCCATACCCGGTGGGATTCTCCTTCCTCTTCATCCCACACACCTCTGCCTTCTTTAAAAAGTCTTTATCTGCTGGGCGCAGTGGCTCAACCTATAATCCTAGCACTCTGGGAGGCCAAGGTGGGAGGATTGCTTAAGGTCAGGACTTTGAGACCAGCCTGAGCAAGAGCGAGACCCACGTCTCTACTATAAATAGAAAGAAATTAATTGGCCAACTGATATATATATAAAAAAATTAGCCGGGCATGGTGGCGCATGCCTGTAGTCCCAGCTACTTGGGAGGCTGAGGCAGGAGGATCACTTGAGCCCAGGAGTTTGAGGTTGCTGTGAGCTAGGCTAATGCCACAGCACTCTAGCCAGGCTCAGCAGAGCGAGATTCTGTCTCAAAAAAAAAAAAGTCTTTATCATTTATTATCATTACTGTAATAAAGAGCTCTCCCTTCCTCAGCCTATCTCTTCGCCACCAATCCATTCTCTTTACTATTGCCACAAGAATCTTTCTAAAACACAGACACTTGTTTAAAGTACTTCCGCATCACTCTCAGGTCAACTCTAACTCTTCAGTGCAGCGCACAAGGCATTCCTCCATCTCCTGCCCGTCACCCATGTGAATTCCCCAAGGCCGCCCATGCAGGATGCCACTGGCTCCTCCCATGTGTCCCTCCGAGGCTGGCTCGGGAGTCCCTCCTTTGGAGGCCTCTCTTCTGGCTCCCACGGCATCCGAGACACACACCTCTATTATTTGTTTTACCCCACTAGTCCGTCAGCTTGTTAAGGGTAGGAACGGAATCTTATTTCTATATTCACAGTGTTAGCACAGCCTTGAAACAGAGGCTCTCAAACAAAGATGTTGAAAACAAATAAACTGAGAGGCTAGCTGACAGTCTCATGTTGGAAAATGGCTCAGCAAAGAGGAGAGGATTCGAACCTTGGTAGCCAGCTCTTTCTCTCGATCCACCAGGCTTTCGATGTCTGCTGAGTCGTAGCCACTGCTCTCACTAGGTGTGATAGCACTTTCAAAGGTGGTGGTTGAGATCTGAGAGGAGATACTGGTGGAGGTGCTGAGGGTCCCACTGCTGAGGCTGGGGGACAACGAGTCACTCAGGGATTTGGGGATGCTGTCACCAAGTCTCTCACGCAGTAGCAGGAAGTGGCGGGTTTTCTCCACCTGAGAAGATCAACACCATTGCCTCAGGAAACACAAAGCTCATGAAGCTCTCAATCATGATAGAAAACTAAAAAGCCATGATCATACAGAGAAGGTGGGTATAAGATTGATGCTTTGGCCAAGATTGATCTTGCCCAAGAGGTCTTGCATTTGAACATGTCCTGCCTTTGGATACCTCGTGTAGGAGCTCCAGCTTCTCCAGCTCCCATTGGTGCTCCAGGATAAGGCTGTCTCCGCGGGGCCGCCAGCCTGCTAAGTTCTCCTCTCCCCGCACATATGCCACTGATGTATCTAAGACTTTTCTTCTCCTCCTCTGCATGCCTAAGACAAGAGAAAACAATTCTCTTTGTTTCAGAGAAAAATTAAATTTCTAGTCAAAATGATTAATACTTTCTTTTTTTTTTTTAAAGAGAGAAGGTCTTGGCTAGGCACAGTGGCTCATGTCTATAATCCCAGCACTCTGGGAGGCCAGGGCGGGAGAATAGCATGAGGTCAGGAGTTCAAGACCAGCCTGAACAAAAGTGAGACCCCCATCTCTACTCAAAATAGAAAAATTAGTTAGGCATGGTTGTAGGTTGCAATGAGCTATGATGATGCCACTGAACTCTACCCTGGGCAACAGAGCAAGACTCTGTCTCAAACAAAAAACAAAACAAAACAAAACAAAACAAAACTAAACTAAATTAAACTAAACTAAACTAAACAAATGAGGTCTCACTGCATTGCCCAGGCTACAGTGCAGTGGCTATTCTCAGGTACATTCATACTGCACTATAGCCTCAAATTCCTGGGCTCAAGCAATCCTCTCGCCTCAGCTTTCCATGTAGCTGGGACTACAGGCATGCACCACCACATCCAGCCAAATTAATAATTCTTATACATAGCAAACTAAGATAGTTTGGTATCAAGATACACTGGATTTTATTTATTAATAAAAATTCATGCCTTTCCCCCAAAGCAACTCTCTAAATTTTTTTTAAAAAACTGAGTATTTGGCCAGGCATGGTGGCTCACACCTGTAATTCTAGCACTCTGGGAGGCCGAGGCGGGCGGATTGCTCGAGGTCAGGAGTTTGAAAACAGCCTGAGCAAGAGTGAGACCCCATCTCTACTAAAAATAGAAATAAATTAATTGGCCAACTAAAAATATATAGAAAACATTAGCTGGGCATGGTGGCGCATGCCTGTAGTCCCAGCTACTTGGGAGGCTGAGGCAGAAGGATTGCTTGAGCCCAGGAGTTTGAGGTTTGTTGTGAGCTAGGCTAATGCCACGGCACTCTAGCCCCGGCAACAAAGTGAGACTCTGTCTCAAAAAAAAAACCCGAAAAACTGAGTATTTAATTCTTTAATAATTATAAAGACTGAAATGCAACTTGAGAAAATGCTAAAGTGATTATGTTAAGTAAAAATAGAGATATTTAATAGTCTGTACACTATTATTCCAAATACATAAAAATACACCCATATGAAAAAAGTAGGAACAGATTACACACATGCATACATATTTAGTAGTTCAGAGGATGACAAATGACAGATGGCTTTAGCTCTCATAATTTCCCATTTTTTTTAAACATTATATTGGTTTTATATACTAAATAATGAATTTATGTTAATTAAAAAAATTCCTTAAGGAGCTACCTGGACACTATAATTTGTTGCTATTGAGACTTGGATCCATACTCAAAATCTTTATCTATCCAAATCTTACTTGTGGGCCCTGACTTTTCCATATATGTTCTCTAAAATGACTCAAACTCACACTAACCAAATGCTTTTAGAAAACCTTAGACAAATTTTAGTGTTACAGGTCTTTAGAATTTGTCTAGCAGGTTTTCTGGTTCTCACCAGAACCTTCTGCCCCCCCCCCACAGAAAACCCCTAATTTTTGTCCATGTTTCTGTTTACAAACATAGAAATGCTAAGTGCTACTTAAGCACATCCAGCTAGAGGAACAGTAGCAGTATAAATACAAATCAAAAAGGACACAGAACAAATATGACTTAATAATTTGTCTTTCTAGAGGTACAGGAAATTCAAATTAGTAGTTTGACTACATCTGTAAAGTTATACTGCCAAGTTATCTTTGGGCTAAGGTGGGGAGGGAAAGAAATGGGTTATGAAGTTTTCTAAATCAAATTCAATCTACTAAAATTCACTTGAATATTTTACAATATTTCATAGCCCAGCAACAACATTGTTTGATATAATTTTTATAACCTATATTGCACATCATAAATCAAATAATTTTGCAAATCTAAACATGGTAACTCTTACTACCACCACCACCACCACCAAACTAGTTTGTAAAAAACACACATGGTTTCTAAAAGATTTTATAGCTAGCCTATATGGGTACCCTCTCCAATTTTTTTTATGTAATATGCTCAAAACATATGCAAAGATAACTATCACTTCCCTGATCCACAAGGGCTTACCTGGACTACCTGTGTCTGCCATTTTGCACAAGCTGAGTTCATAAATGCCAGTGACTCGATTGCTATTTGAAAAGAAGAAAACAATTGCTTAATCTCTGACAGCCCCTAAACAGGAAACTCTCAATTCTCCCTACTTAAAATACTGTCTCTTCCATAGTGAATGCAACCCACTCTCAAATATAATTACACACATTTCTTATTATTAATAGTTACTCTAAGTTATATATCTTTTGCTTGAAGGAGCCCACTTTCATTTCACTCTATTAAACACTGCTATTTCAACAGGATGAATAAAATAGAATGATAAACTAGAGAAGTTGTAATTTAAATGGGAAAACTAAAAATTTGTCTTTTTTTTCTTAATTTTTTATAAACACCAGCCACAGGAGAAAAATTTGTCTTTTCTTACCATAAGAGACGAAAGAGGAGGGAAAAAAAATCTGACTAGAATGAAATGAAAAACAATAAATTCTGGAGATTGTGAGTAGGAAGGGGTGCTGAACCTTCTATTGTATTAGCAATATTTATTTTATTTTTTAGGCTGGGTGGTGATACATAGGTATTCACTGTATTATTCTTAATATATTTTTGTATATCTTAAATATGCCTAATACATCTTAAAGAGAATGGTAATCTGCCAGAAATAATAATGACATTTAAAAGAACATTTAGTCCCTCCAAAATTATTTCGGAAGTATTCACAATATAATATTCCTTCCTTCACTAACTTATTCCTCTATCAACGTTTTATTAAATGCCTACATGCAAGTCACTGGACTCCAAGTAACAGTTAGCAAAATGGTTTATAAATGGTAAACTAACTGTGAAATGGTGAGCCGGGCATAACTAAGGACTGCTGATCTGTTGTACTGGGCAAACAAACTGGAAATTAATTTGTCTCAAAAACTTACGAGTCTGGTGACTTTGAGTAGCCGCTGCCAAAGAGGCTTCGCAGAGAGCGTGGCGGTGTGATCTTGGCATCCCGGGAGTAGAAGACCATGCACACATCCTTGGTGATGACAGCTGGCTGGATGCAATGATCCAGCTGAAAGCGGACAGGGGTGAGCGCTGATTAAATGCAGGCAGTGTACCTGTGACTGGAGTCTGTGCGTGTTAGGAAAGCTAGACCTAGCTGTGGGGAATGGAAGATTTCAGCTCTACCAATTATTTCAGCAGCAACTCAACAAATAATATGCGCAATGTTAGGGGGTATTCCTTATAGATGGATGCATTTATTTTCCTCTCAGGTAAAGGCAATTATTACCCCTGTTTAATAGAAGAGGAAACTGAAACATAGAGAACTTGCCCAAGAACATATAGGAAGCAAGCAGCAGCACAGGGATTTGAACCCAGATAGGCTGGTTCTAGGGTCTGGACTGTCAACTACTACCAGGTGCTGTCCAGAACTATAAAAACAAGAGGGGAAGTTTTCTTAAAAATCATACATTTTTTGAGGCTGAGGTAGGGGGATCACTTGAGGTCAGGAGTTTGAGACCAGCCTGAGCAAGAGCAGGACCCCGTCTCTACCAAAATTAGAAAAAAGTAGCCAGGCATGGTGGTGCACACCTGTGGTCCCAGCTACTTGGGAGGCTGAGGCAAGAGGATTGCTTGAGCCCAGGAGTTTGAGGTTGCTGAGAGCTAGGCTGATGCTACAATACTCTAGCCTAGGCAACAGAGCAAGACTCTGTTTCAAAAAAATAAGAAGAAAAAAAATCATACATTCTTCAAAGAATGGTGGTTAGGCTAGTAAATCTGAAGCTATAATAAAAGTCTGGTGACTTTTGACTAAATAGAGCCCAGGAACAGAACCTAATATAATCAGAAGAGTCAGCAAAGTATAATAAAATAAATATCTTAAGGGTGTGTTGGAGAAAAAGAAGACAAGTCAAATCTTCGCTGACCATTTCCTGCTATAACCTGCCCACTGCTCAGGGCTAGCTGTGGCAACTGGAGTTCTGAGTCTCCTTACCTCTAGGTAGGCCGACAAGGTCATGTAGATCTTTTCTCCATAGGGTGTCACTCGGTTCAGAAGAAGAGAGTTATGTAGAGAGCTGTCCCATACAGCCTCAAAGCGGTAGAAGGTCCTAAGGTCAGAAAGACAAGAGGGAGTCAGCCAAAAGCAGCTGAAGTTATCTTAGTCCAGGTACTGTCACCGTCAGTAATCCTAAAGAATCCTACATCAACCACCCAACACTTTCAATTTATCAAAATCTAATAAAGGGGGGACCCTTATTTCCTAGGAGAAAATGATAGGTCCCATCCTCTTGCCCCATCCATCAATAAGGAGTGCAAACTGTTGTGCAAACTGTTTTTGTTTTGTTTTTTTTGATAAGCATGACCCTGCCTATAAACATAAAAATAGTGAAGTCACTCAAGTAAGATGAAAAGGATAAGTGAGTATGAACAGAAACTGAAAGAACACAGACAGCCTAGGTAAGCTATCCTGTCAATTAATGATAGCAGGAAGCAAATACCCAGTAATTTGTAAGTTGTGGTCTTCATATCACACGAGATATTAAACATTGTACAATCCAGTGTTGCTGAGCCTCAGAAACGTGACAAATATATCTGGGAGGATTAATGGTGGAAATACATAGAAAAACTGAAATATAGAAAGACTTATTCTTTTTTTTTTTTTGAGAGAGAGAGTCTTGCTCTGTTTCCTGAGCTAGAGTATACAGTGGTATCATCATAGCTCACTGCAACCTCCAACTCCTAAGCTCAAGTGATCCTACTGACTCAGCCTCCAGAGCAGCTGGAACTACAGGCGCATATCACCATACCCAGCATACACACACACACACACACACACACACACACACACACACACACACACACTTTTTTTTGAGACAGAGTCTCACTCTGTTGCCCAGGATAAAGGGCCATAGCATTGGCCCAGCTTACAGCAACCTCAAACTCCTGGATTCAAGCTATTCTCTTGCCTCTCAGCCTCCTGAGTAGCTGGGACTACAGGTGCTTATCACCACACCTGGCTAAGTGTTTCTATTTTTAGTAGAGACGGGGTCTTGCTCTTGCTCAGGCTGGTCTCGAACTCCTGAGCTCAAGCAATCCTCCTGCCTCAGCCTCTCAGAGTGCTAGGATTACAGGCGTGAGCCACCATGCTTGGCTTTTTAAAATTTTTTCTAAGATGGGGTCTCACTATTGCTGGGTCTGGTCTCAAATTCCTGGGCTCAAGTGATCCCCCTGCCTCAGCCTCCCAAGTAGCTGGGACTACAGGCATGCGCCGCCATGCCCGGCTAATTTTTTCTATATATTTTTAGTTGGCCAATTCATTTCTTTCTATTTTTAGTAGAGATGGGGTCTCACTCATGCTCAGGCTGTTTTGGAACTCCTGACCTTGAGCGATCCACCCACCTCCGCCTCCCAGAGTGCTAGGATTACAGGCCTGAGCCACAGCACCTGAAAAATCAATCTTAAATTTAAATAACAATTAGAAACTTAACTGATACCCACAAACTGGTTTGTTTTTTTAGTATCACTTTTTTGTTCCTACTGGTAAAATACCATAAGCCCTAATTAAACTTTCCAGTTGAGCATGTCTCATCTGAAATGTGATACTTAGTTCAACAGCAGTGTTACAGATCAACTCCAAACCTACCCCACACTTCCCTAATCAGACCCCATGAACAAGTGCAGGGTAGATGCCTCCTATGGATTTCCTGAGACAAATAGCGGGCAGATCCTCTCCTGAAACATGTTCCCATGCTTCTTCCTCCAGAAACCATCAACAGAGAAAACAATACATTTCTGAAAGTTAACTCCATGATCACGCTTCATCTTCCAAGTGCCAGTGTGTGAGGTCTGATCATTTCACTTTGCAGCTGCATATAGGGCTAAGTCTTCATCAAATACTTCGTAGTCTCTCAAATGTCTACCTTTTTGAGGCAGTGAGTATGGGTCAAGAAAATTCTCTACAAAGACATTGAAGGAATATAGAGACAACTAATAAGACAAAGACAAAGCCACCAAGTGACCCAAGCAACAACGGAAATGATGGCCTTTTCCTTTCTTTGGCTCTGGGGCTCTGTAGACACAGCAGAAAACCCTTCGTGCATCCACAAAGCTCTGTTTAGATCAAATCTTTATTTTCATTTGGTTTAAGGCAAATGCTAATACCAGGTGACAATATCCACTACTTTAGAAGAAAACACTTGAAAACTCTACCCTCCTGACAGCTGCTCTTCTATTGTGTGCCCATTTTTGTCAAAGTATCTAGAATGATGTATACAGCTGTATCCTGGGCAAGGGCGGAATATACCTGTGCTGGAGTGAAATAACCCATCTGCTTCTGAGAGTGAGGGTATTTATGACTTTGGTTGTATTTTGCAGGAATTTCTATTACTGCTGCCTATAATTCATGATTCATTATGTTCCAAACCATAACTTAGCCACCACTAAGGTTTCATGATTCATTCTTTCAACTAAGGTGAATGTTTTAAACTTGTCTAAGAAAGACTCTTCATATTTCAAGTTAAGTTTTCATTTAACCTAAAGAGAAAATGTCACTGGCAGAGACCTGGCTAACATAAACAAAATTTTGACTCTACTAAAATCTTCCTGTATTGATTAGGGGGAAAAACCTTCTTCTTTTTGTTTTGCTTTGGAGTTGCTGCAACACACTCTGTTGATATAACCCCCAACAGTGGCAATTCTTGAGAGGCAGTTGTAACACATACAACTGGGGAGAAATGTCAATTCAATCAAGCTGGCTACCAAGATAACTTAGGATTAGAAACAGGGCTGAGTTCTGAGACATGTTTTCCTGCACGGCTCCTAAGGTGGTTAGAAAAGAATTCCAAATCACGTTCTTGAGATGTTCCGAATGACAGCAGCATCAGAGGAGACACAGGTTTCAAGGCGACTGCTTTGAAGGATATATTCCTTCAAATGTATTAATTGTGAACAATTTAAAAGCCAACTTCTTACATTATGGTCAAACCTAATGGACCTTCTTGAGTTCATTGGGAGAACCCCTGAAATATGAACTCAATGGAGTCCAGATTAAGAGATAAACTCACTATACCTATAATGCCAGCCAAATATATGTCTGTGTGTCTGTATGTATATATACATATATTTTAACATTTTAAGTTATACTGTCATGTATCATTTCCTTCAGTTTTCTTCCCTAAATGAGATGGAGAGAGAGATAGGAAAAAACTTCCTTTGCTACCAAGCCAGGATTTTTTCTATTTCCACTTATTTTTCTATTCCACATAAATAGGTAAGATAAGCAACCCTGACAGGAGAAAAAAAAATGTTTAAAAAAAAATACAAAATATTTCTCACAGACTTGACTACCCAAATAACCAAACTGGTCTCTACTACTGTACAGGACAAAACACAGAAAATGAATGGTTTTGCAAGGCTGCAACAGACTAGGTTTTAACAGAGCAGGAAACCATTCAAGCTTCTGACAGAGACAAGATGAAGAGAAGAGCAGAAAACAAAGCCTGAGATTCTATATGAAATGAGGGAGAAACATTCTATTCTGTAATGTATTAGAGGAAAACTTGAAGAGGCATAAGAATAAAATGAATGTTTAGTAAATAGAATGAGCAAATAATTCAGAACTCTAAAGATTTTTTTTTTTTTGAGACAGGGTCTCGCTCTGTTGTTCAAGCTGGAGTGCAGTGATGTCACTGCAGCTTCGAGTGCCTGGGCTCAAGTAATCCTCTCATTTCAGCCTCCCAAGTAGCAGGGACTCCAAGTGTGCACCACTACGCCCAGCTAATTTTTAATTTTTTGTAAAGATGGGGTCTTGCTGTGTTGCCCAGGCTGGTCTTGAACTTGTGGCCTCAAGCAACCCTCCCATCTTGGCCTTCCAAAGTGCCTAAAAATCATCTAAGAAGCTATATGCAAAACTGTACACACATCAGAAAAACCTATAGCAAAAAGGAGAAGTGTCTTAGGGTACAGAATAAGGTCTTGCTCTATCCTAGGTACAGCTTGGGTTTACACAGAGGGGACAAAACCACTAAACAGCAATCAAAGCAACATAAGACATAAAGCATTCTGATAAACTAGAATCTTTATGTGCAAAGAAGCAAACTGAAAATACCTAGGAATATCCTTATCAAGAAAGAGCCTGTAAAAACACAGAAAAGGCTTTTGTTAGTGCAGCAAACAAAAAAACAAAAGAAAGTGAGAGAGAAAAGAGGAAAAACATATATATATATGACAAATTTGCTGATACGCAGAGTGAATTCAAGTGGACATACAATTAACAAACCAAGAACCTGATGGGACACAATTTGATAGAGACCTTCCAGTGGCATGGGTCCCTCTCCTGAGACTTTCAATAAGGAAAACACTGGACACAGAAGGGAATGTGGAGACCACCACCACCGATATTCCTTTCTGTGGTGACTTAGTACTGGGAATGGTAGAAGTTGCTGTGGAGTTAAGGGACAACCAAGTCAATTTGTTAACATAAATGTAGGACTGGGAGGAAAAGAAATAATGGTCCTTCAATTCCATTCTACTATCAATATATTAGAAAATCCCTCTAAGATACATACATAATACACCCAAATTGGAGTTCCGTAAATTCAATTTTAAACATTAAAACTTAGCCAAACAAAACAAAAGCTCTCTTAACCAAACTCGATTTACAATTAACCTTATTAACCTATGCTCTCTATATCCTCAAAGTATAAAGACTGAGGCCCACTTCTTGAACATTCTAAACTAGAGAGATATCTTGTACACCTAGAGATTCACTCCAAAGAGCTGAGTTGTGTGCTTATCAAGTGTCAGTAGTATCTGGTCCCAAACCTGTTAGGTCAGTTGTACTTATTACTATAATTATCTAATTTACTTAAACATAAAGCAAATAAATAAAATATAAAGACAAAAAGAATTTTTGTTTTTGTAAAAACTTTGCTGAATGTTTTCAAAAGATTTGATAATGGTGAGTTGTTTATAAAAACAGCTGTTAAATTAAGTTTGGGTACAATAAATGTAAAGGAAAGAGGAAAATGATAAAATGTTAATAAATGATAAAAAGTTAAAAGGATTTTGGACTTAAGATTTTCTTCATAGGTTTCTAGTTCTTGCTTCACCAAACTGAAAATCAGAGAAGATGAATTGTGGGTGTGGTTTTGCAAGAAAGACAATCAGAATTCCAATAAATGACCTTATAACTAAAAAAATAAATGTAGATTTATAGTCTAAATTAAAACAAAATGTTTAAGGCATATATCTTATTCTTTTTGACTTCAGCCAACTTTTTAAATTAACTAACTTTAAGCTTCTATTACACGAGATAAACTACTTCTGATAAAGTCAAATTTATTTCCTACAGCACCTAACCTGCTGCTGGCATAAAGCAAAGGACTGTCCAGGGTAACTCTAATGCAGGCAAACTTAGCACTACCTGCACTTCAACCAAACACCATCTTTCTCTGTGTATTTTGCTTGGTACCCTAAGGAAATTTAATATATTATTTTTCATAGTTACAAAGAAAAGTGGTGACTGCCAGCTGAACACTGGCCATAAATGTTTGGCAGAAGAATGCTATGTAGAGTTACTGCTGACTCCAGGAAAATGGTATTGTTTATGAGTTTGCCCGGGGATAGTTAAAGCACCCCTCTTTCTCTCTGCCACTCCACCTCCCCAGACATACACCCACTCACACTCCTTCCCTTTCTCTCCACAGCCCCTGCAAGCAAAGAGAAGTTTGTTCCTTTTTTCTTTCTATGTAAAATTTAATACCTGAAAACAACAGAAAAAAATTAATCCTGGCCCAAGTTCTTTATTTTGTTTCTGCCTATTGTCTTTTTCTTCCCGTCCCTCTTCCCACGACAGATGTGAGCAGAAGGAAGCACAGGAAGTGCTTCCTGCTCCCTGCTCCCAACCCCCAGCCCTGTGATAAAGAGATGGAGTCTCCCAGACAATGGCAGAACTGCTTTCCTGGGTGAGGTAAGAGGACCCCAGCTGGTTTGGTTCCAGTCTGACACAGGAAAGCACAATGGCTATAGACTGCATGCAACGTCTGTCATCACTTGATTATAAAAGGGAATTTTACGATAAATGAATTTAAAATAAAAATCTGTTATTTTACAAAAGCCAATCTTGGCCATAGAGTTTATATTAATTTATCAACTTTATGCACAAATGAAAGTGAAAAGCAAATACTAAGAATAATTGAGACTATACTAGCAGCAGCAAAGACAAAACATGAGGCTTCATTATACCATGGAAGGCATGTTTCCATGATACTTAGGAGTGAGAAACTTTTCTCCACAGCAGCCACTTCACAGGAAAACATTTAGTCTTAGCAATAATTAATTTGTATTGTATCCCTTGGATAGCATGTTGTGTTTTGGGGTTTTTTTTCCTGATTTTTCTTTATCAGTATGTTACATCTACTAAAACTCCACATGGGATAGATCATTTCCATTGCCTACAGGTAACTGATCACATACAGATATCTCCAATTCTTTTTTTCTTTTTGGAGAGCAGGGTAGACAGGGAATGAAATAGGGATTTTTGAAGTGAGAAGGGAATTAGTCCTTTATCTGCACCAGGAGTCATGAACACATAAGGAGTCTAATGGTGAACAAATCAACACCCACAGGGGCTGACTCATCACACTTCTTAGGGTGCCCCACCTGCTGGAGTTGTGGGAAGACTTCAGGTACTTGGCAGAAATAATATTTAAGGAGAGGATAGCATCAACTGCAGCCTCATCCACCTCAGGCTTATTCCTAATCCGGCCTAAAAGAAAGGATAGAGAAACCAGAAAATAAGCACATTAAAAACAAAACAAATTGATTAAGGCAAAAAGAGACTTTCAGATCTTTGTGTAACTTCAGGTGCTGGAAAGGTCACTTGGTTCCTTATAAGGTCCTCCATTCTTCCCCACGGTCTGTCTCCCCTTTACTTCCCACATTTAGTCAACTGTGAAACCTACTGATGCTTTGTTCAAAGAGTTTTTCATATTCATCCCAACTGTATTTTCCAATATCACCCCCCTGCTCATGAAGGCTACCTTCCTCTCCAATCTGGAACCCAAAACAGCCCTTTAACTGATCTTCCTGCTGCTCACATCTCCCCTGTTCCAATCCATCTTACACTCACCTATTATAAACTTTTTAAGCCACTAACTTTATTATACTGCTTTCCTGCTCAAAATCCTAAGACTATGTTTTCAAACTGACACTAGGGGATGCAGCATCACATAGAGGCTGGGAACTCAGTCTCCAGAGCCGGACGCCTGGGCTCCAACTCTCACGAGCTGTGAGGCTCTGCGCGTAATGCTCAACTCTCTGAGCCTCAGTTCCCTCATCTGTGGAATGAGAAAAACAATTTCTCCCTTATACATGATTGTTATGAGGATTAAATAAGTTGGTCTTTTTAGAACATTCAGAAAGCACATGGCACATGGTAAACACTATAGAAGAGTTTGTTAAATAAAATAAACAAATAGATTTTGTTTTTAACCACTGCCTCCACATTTTCCCTCACTCTTTCTGGTCAGAAAGCATCTCTTCTGTTTTGTATATCAGTGTTCTACAGAAAAAGGAATTTTGAGAAAGCGTGAAAACCACTGTCCCAGAGAGGAGAGAGTAAAACCTCCCTTCCGAGGGTGCTTTTTTTTTCCATTTTTTAAATTCTTTTAGAAAATTTTCTCTTATTTAAATTTATTTCTTCATTAGCGGCTGACTGGTAAGTTGGAACCATATAAGAGTTCTTAATCTGGTCCATAAGAGACACAAAGGGTCTATGGATAGAATTCAAGCAATCTGTGAGCTTGGCTGGGAAAAAATTACACCTTTATTTTCATGAACCTATAACAGAAAATTGGTATTTCCTTCAATTATGAAGGAAGGAATAAACCACAGGAGAATCAGCAGTACCTGTGACTCTGTCCCCAGTAGAAACCACAGATATTTTCATATCACACTAACATAAAATATCTTTTTCATTCCTCCCCACTTTGAAATTATGATAATTAGACCTGCTGCTAGATCTTGCTATTTAATGCATCACTAAAGAAAAGCTTAGATTACAAATTTGTTTATTTTGACAACTGTATTTCAATATTGATAGTCTCCTTTGTAATGCTAAGTACTTTATTTTCTACATTTGAAACCCTAATTCTAAGGCTTCACCATTGCCAAAGAGATCCACAGCAACAAAAGGTCTCAAACCCCTGCCTTAGACTACTGTAATGCTCACACTCAACTATTTAGCAGAAATGCCTTCATTTAATTTCTCCACTCTAGCCATGGGTTTCTAGCTCCTGCATGTTAGACATATTCCTGACTCTGACTCAAAATGTTTATGTATGCAAAACAAACAAAAACCCTCTAATTTCTCTTGAATCCATTCAGTCCTCCTGCATTGTTTTTGTTGTTAACACTTAGCACAGGTCTTTTCCCTGTCTTCATTTTGGTACTTATTCATCAAACCATTTTACACACATATACATTATCTCCCCAACTAAACCACAAGCTCACAATGAGCAGAGGCTCATTTTATGCCCCCTTACAACCTCTAGCACAGAATCACAGCCATGGTAATTGAGTGAAATAGTGGTTTTACTAATGATGGAGCGGAGAAACAAGAGTACATAGAGTCAAACTCAAGGCCTCTACATTCTCCAGTCAATATTCTCCAATACAATCTTCCACACATTCATTGTGCTGCAAAGAGGGAAGAACAGTATCTAAAAACCCCAGCTCTGTCCTCAGCAGATGGACATACTCACCTACCACCAGTTCTCGAACATCTTTCCAGTGGAGCTCACTCCCCTTCTCATGGATAATGGTCATTGTGATCCTTCGCTGGATGCCCTAGGTAATGGAGCAGGGATGCAGTTTAGCTGAGCAATCTATCATTTCCTTGTGTTTGCTGTTTTCTGAGCTGTACAGTATGGGGATGGGCAGGAAGGAGACGTGTGGAAAAAGAGGGGAAATGCTGCCCACACTGTTACTCAAAACAATGGGAAATGGGTCAGGGACTGAGGAACAGCCAGGTTCTGATATGGTTTTAAGAACTTGTGGCTGAGCCAGAGGATCACTTGAGCCTAGGAGTCAGAGGTTACAGTGAGCTATGATTGTGCCACTGTACTCCAGCCTGGGCAATAGAGCAAGACCCTGTCTCAAAAAAAAAAAAAAAAAAGGGAACATCTAGATGCCTAGGTTATATGTCCCAGTGTTACGGGACCCCCAGCTCCTATGCCTATTTGGGTCATGAGCATTTTTGAGCACTGACTAAATCTACTCCAAATTTACCAAAGAGAAACCTACATTTCATAATCAGAGTTTTAGTCCATTGAAACCTCCATTCTCTATCCCCATTAAGCACTTTTGGCTGTGAAAGCACAGCACTCCCAAATATCATGAAATTAAAACTGTAAGAAATGACATGGGAGCTGTATAAATCATAGTGAATGAATAAAATAAACTATTTTTCAAAATAGGTATTCTAAAATATATGCATACATAAAATCAAGGGTAGATATAAGCCAAGGTTTGAGGAAGAAGCATTTAAAAATAAATATACAAATAAATATACAAAAAAAGAAAAAAAAAAGGACAGCACAATAAGACAATCTCCCTACCACCCCAAAAGAGTAGTGAAAAGCAGAGAAAATGAAAGTTATGTTTCTTATTCTAAACTCTTAGTGGTGTTGTCTCCTAGATCTATTGTGCTTCCTGGTGCACAATAGATGCACCAGGTGCATCATTAGTACCTGATGAAGCAAAAATGTCCCCTGGCAAGGCAAGCCTGCTGTATGGTCAACCACAGCTGGGATATACCTATAAAAATAGAAATGCAAAAGAAAGAAGTAAGTGCTACTTCATCTGCAAGGTCTTCTCTGGTTGTTGTAGCCCTGGTGGGCCTTGTTTTTCTAAACTCTGATACCACATCTTTTTTACCCTTTTTGGCATTTAACCATTCAGCATTTGCATGCACTAATCTTTTCCCCATATCTATGTCTCTTCATCCTTACTAGACTGAAGTACTCAAAGGACAGTAACATCTTTTGGTTTCATCCTAGCCCCTTGTGTAACAAGTATTCAATAAATAAAGTACAAGTGCAAAGGCAATTGATAGGAAATAAGAAATACATAATTTCAGATTCTAGATAGTTTCTTTAAAACTCAGAAAGCAATTAATTCAGTAGAAACAAACCATCACTGTAACTACATCTCCCCCATAATACAAGTTAGAATCACATTATAGATCTATCTATGGAAAGTCAAATTCCTCAAAACAATATTACTACTGACAACTACATATAAGATCCACAGAGACATACTTAACACAGTGACCTACACAGTGACCAGGAACTTAATAAATGTTTCATGGTGATGACCATGATGGTGGTTCTCAGCATTATAACACAGAGGAACATTAGGATAACATTTACCTCCTACCTTTTACATTAATTGATAGACCCCATTGCGTCTGTTTTAGGAATAAGATCTCTTTTGTGTTCTTCCAAAAGCATTTTAGAGACAACCATAAACAATAATTACATTCATTACTTCCTCTAACACAGCTCATGGAGTAAAATTAAACTGATGTTGATCATTCTGATCTAGGACAATGGTTCTCAATCGGGTATGATTTTGCCTCTGGGGGGCATTTGGCAGTGTCTAGAGACATTTTTCGTTGTCACAACTAGAGGGGAGGTGCTACTGGCATCTTGTGGATAGAAGGCAGGCATGCTGCAAAATAGCCTACAATACAAGGGACAGCCCCTGACAAGAGAGAAGTACCCAAAACAGTGACCCAAAACAGTGCTGAGGTTGAGAAACCCTGATCTAGGGAAACATTTTGCCCCTAATCCCTTCATTGAGATTAGTCATAGACATTTTGATCATATTCTGTGCAATATGTACTCTTGGTTTTGCTACTGATGAAGCCCACTCTGTAGGTGGTCTTCCCTCATAATAAAGTGTCAGTCTTCATGAGCTTGCTGTTGCTATCAAGAAGGCAAATTATTATACTGAATAGTCAGTTCTCTGACAAACATCTGATTCAAAGAAAAATACTAAGACCACTAAAATTCAGTTCAAAACTAGAATTTGATAGTGACAAGACTGATAAACCCAAATACAAGAGAATTAAAATTACATTTCCTAATTTTGAAACACTTTGCCTTATTTAAAAATTGAGAAAGTTGGACTTACTCTCCCGTAGGCTCCAATTCACTGATCTCAAACCAAACCAGGAGGTCATACTTGCTCATGCTCTGGCCAAGGCTGGTTTTGCTCATGGTGTTTAACTTGGTGGCTGGAACTTTTAAAAGTTTTTAGAAAATGTCAAAATCTGGTCTAAGTCTATTCAGCAAAAGTATAAGCTTCTCTAATGTCAGTCTTCAAGGACACGCTTGGGAAAGGCAGCAAGAGTCACGAGATAGATTTCAATGGAGAAGACAAGAGAAACTTCAAGATCAACTATGTTATTAGGACCTCTAAATTCAGAAAACAAGGAAAATTGAGAGTCAATGGCTTCTCTCTCAACAAACTATCTCCAAAGATGAGCAAACAGATATTGTGCAGAATAAATGTGCTCACAAAACCATTTTTAAAAACCTTTCCTCTCAGCTGGGTGCAATGGTTCATGCCTATAATACTAGCACTCACTCTGGGAGGTCAAGGATGGGAGATGATCACTTGAGTTCATGAGTTCGAGACCAGCCTGAGCAAGAGTGAGACCCTCTCTCTACTAAAAATTAGAACAAATTAGTCAGGAATGGTGGCACATGCCTGTAGTCCCAGCTACTCAGGAGGCTGAGGCAGAAAGACTGCTTGAGCCTAGGAGTTTGAGGTTGCCATGAGCTAGGCTGACACGACAGCACTCTAGCCTGGGCAACAGAGTGAGACTCTGTCTCAAAAAAAAAAAAAAATCATTACCTCTAGAATCTCACATTTTGTGGCTGGTAGGCAGAGCATCATGATGCTAGAGAGACAGTGCTTGGAAAGCCTTGCACATACAGGGGGCTGGGGGAGGGGCCTCCCTCAAAGCCAGTGTGGCGGAATAAAGCCCCACCCTCCATCCCAGTGGTTCCCAAACCTCCCGGCACATAAGCGTCACCCAAGGATCTTAAAGATGGCAAAGCTCAGACCACATCCTAGATCAATTAAATCACAATCTCTAGGGTAAAACGGTCCTTCCTCCCAAAGTTCTCCAGGTGATTCCAATGTGCAGACCAATTTGGAAACCACTGGTCTAATATGTAAATACAAGATTCTGAAAATGATCTTATGTTACACATTTTCTTCAGATTTAAATTTCATACTCTTTTTTTTTTTTTTTTTTTTGAGTCAGGGTCTTGCTCTGTCACCCAGGCTAGAGTGGAGTGGTTTCACATAGCTCACTGCAACCTCAAACTCCTGGACCCAAGTAATCCTCCTTTCTCAGCCTCCCAGGAGCTAGGACTACAGGCATGTGCCACCATGCTCAGCTAATGTTTTCTATATATTTCTAGTTTTCCAGCTAATTTCTTTCTATTTTTAGTAGAGACAGGGTCTCACTCTTGCTCAGGCTGGTCTTGAACTCCTGACCTCGAGCGATCCTCCCGCCTCGGCCTCCCAGAGTGCTAGGATTACAGGCGTAAGCTACCACGCCCAGCCTAAATTCCATATTCTTAACTGATGCCATACAACTTTAGTTAAATTGCTTACCCTCTGTGAATCTTTCTCCTCAATTACAAAATGCAGATCATGATATTAGCCTGCTATCTTGAAAAGGTATGAAGATCCACTAACATAATGTATATAAGGGGCTTTAGGAATCATACAGCACTATCCCAATGTGTAGCCTATCAGCAGTACTCATCCCAGCTGAATTTCACGAATTGGTGATGCTAGTCAGGAAGAAAATAGGGTTACTGATCTGGCAGTCAGTCATCCAAAGGTCAGAAAGCAAAACCATAAGTATTAAAACAAAACCAACTACAAGTATTAAAACAAAACCAACTACTAGTAAAAATATTCAAAATTAAAAACACTATTGCAAAGAATCCAAACAAACAAATGCAAGGAACCCCTCATCCCTATAGTGATGTGAGAGAGGCACAAGAAGAGAAAGTGCTTCCTAAAATCTCTCTGAAGGAAATGTGATATGATCTTGTTAACGTACTGAAATCTACTTCAGATAAAGTAGCAAACAGAAATGTCGGTGTTTCATACACGGAAAGCCAGGCTTCAGGACAAGCCAAGGTTGGTTCTACATCTAAGGCGGAGCTAATTTAGCTACTAACCATCTCGTTTGGGTACCCTCTCGCTCTTGCAGCTGGGAACTGGCAGAAAGAGAAAAGGCGGCAATGGGTCAGCCTCATCCTGGAAGGTGGCAATAGTGGAGGATGCAAGCACACTGGCGTGCTCTGAAAACGTGTTCAACACATGCACATTCACATAGCCAGATGCGAGAAACCGAATCAGCTCAATCTTTCTCTCATGGTCTGAAGGCAGATGAAGATGAGGAGTACAGAGGTTGGAGAATGAGTATAGGGTGGGGTGGGAATTTGGCAAGTGGGCAATGAGGAAAAAGGATAAAAATAAACAAAAATCAAAATAAGATAATTGAACATGCAGAATATATTTAATATGCAAAGGAATGCCCAGTCACCTGACAGTTATGGGGAATTACATAGAAAGCAGAGAGATTTAGGAACAGGGAGATTATCAAAATCTGCAATAAGAAGACCAGAGAAGTAGCAGAGATAGAACTTTATCTTTTCTTACTTCTTATTTTAAACCAGGAATAAAGAATTCTAGTTCCTGCTACATATATACAAGAGCAGATGAAACACATAAGGATACACAGAAGAGGGGTAGAAACTCAAATACAATTTTTATCTGAAAAGTCATTCAGAGTTAAGAGGTGTATTCACACAGAGAACGTCATGCAAGGAATGGAGCTAGGGCTCACCTGGCTTGGACAGTGGCATGGGTGGAGGGAAGTATCGTCGAGATGGCTGAGGTGGGCTGCAACAAAAGGAAGACAAACTTCTTCAAGACTAAAGAGTCAGATGTTGACATTAACAGCATGTTTAAATTCCCTTTAAGGAAACAGATCTTTTGCATTTTCAACTCTGGCATAATTCCAGATAACAGAGATAATCTTACATTGTCAAACAGGCTAAAGTATTTTAATAAAAGTCCCCCTGTAAATCTTAGCTAATAAACAAAATGAGAAAATTCTTGTCACCACTGACACTGCCATCATCTAACAGTCCCCATCTTTGCTTTACTCATGAGTTTTGATGACCACACGTAGAGCTTCCACTTCATAAGTTATGGGTCATTAGGACAATTATACACAATTTGCACGTTATATGCCTATTACCTCAACTTTCTATCCTATTCAGTCTCTTCCTTCAAAAAGATGGTATTCAAGGTCACCAAAATTCAATTTGCTGTATCTAAAATTAGTGATCAGATGGTTTAAAAAAGGTGAACTTTCTAAAGAGGAGACACAGGGTAACATATAAAACTGTTAGTTATCTTAATCCTTCATTTTTATATATAGATGTATATTTTTTTACATCTTTGCTATGAGAACCTATTTTTTTCTTCCTTTTCTTATTTTTATTTTATATATTTGTCTTTACATCTGTATAGTTATCTTTTTTTGCAGCCTTTATAGTTATCCTAATCTCTCAAAAGATTTTTAGCAACTGAACAACTGAAAAATAACAACAAAAATCTTTGCGCATCTGGTCCAAACCTGCCAAGCTCCTGTCCTTGCAGGTGAAGTGGGTGCTGCTGATAGTGTCCAAAGACCTCAAACACAATAGGCTTGGTCCTGATGTAATCCACAAAGGATTCTGTGATCTCCACTGCAATCTGACAAGCAAGATTAGGAAAGATTTATTATAACAAAAAACATGTTTTTGCTTCAATCAGAACTTTAGTTCTGTTGAGTGTCCAGTATGTGTGGAGTACTTTATTATGCAGGACTCTTGCACCAAAAGCCAGGGACTCCTTTCTCATTTTCATTCTAAAGTAACTTTATCAAGCTTCAGGCATTCAAGACCTTCCACAGTTTGACCCAACTAACCTTGGTCCCTGCTGCCCTTCACAAACTCAATCAAATTTGTCTGCTGCTCCTTTCCCCTGCTCTCTCCTCTGCTGTGCCAAGCACTGGCTCAGGCTGCAGCCCTGCCTGGAAGGCCCCTCAATGTGTCCATGCACCTAAGTCATTCCTGAACTCCAAGGCCCAGCTCACACAGTAACAACAATAAGAAAAACATGTACAGACTCTGGACTATGTGCCAGGCACAATGCCAAGTTGACGCACCTCTTGTTGCTCCTTCAGAAAGCTCCCCACCTCCTTTCCCCATCTAACTATCACCCCCCTCAACAAAAAAGGTGTCTTAAAATATGTTTCCATTAATATAATAACTTTCACTTTCTCCACTTGCACTACATTTATTGAATACTTTCCTCCTGTCTAGCCTGTACAACTGTCATCCATATATGCATTTTATTTCCCCCATCATAATTCTAAGCTCCTTGGGGCATCTGCAATTCATATGCATTCTCCAGGTGTGTCAGGCACAGTCTTTGTGTTGAGCAGCTGATCGATATGTATCAGATATATGCATGCTCACATTTACACAAGCATAAAAAAGGAAATAGTGTATTTTGTGCTTGCTTGTTCCATCTTTAGAGTTGTCCTTTCCTCTTTTACTTTATACAGTAGACATGGTTAGCAAGAGAACGAGAGAGTTTCACGCAGTAGTGAAGATCTTGGATGCTAGAACCATATTTTTCTGGGTTCAAATCCCCTCTCTGCCTCTTTCTAGCTTTGTAACCTTGGTAACTTTAACCTCTCTGTGCCTCAGTTATCTCAGATGTAACATACGGATTGTTATAATCTATGGTGTAAAGGGGAAGATTAAATGACATAAAAAAACACTTAGAACAATAAGTGACACCAAATAAATTCTTATAAATGTCAGCTATTAAAAAAATAATTTAAAAATGTTAGTTATTGTGATGAGGATGATAAATTTTGAATACAGTTAAAGTGAAATTTCATATATGAAAGATGAAAATCCCCTAGTCATAGCAAAATAATTTAAACAATAAAAAACAAAACAAAACAAAAAAGAGATGGAAGGTCTGTTTTCTTACACCAAGTATGAAGACAGTTGGTAAGAGGCATTAATGGGGTTAATTATAGTATCAGCTACAAGGAAAACATAAACCTTAATTTATCTACAGAAGGTATTTAATACCTTCTATATTATTTGCAACTAAACAATATTAATATCTTAGGGTTTAAAGGACAATACATTCACTTTAACAAAGCCCTTATTAAACGTGCTTATTTTTCTAGGACAGAGACACTAAAACAACTCAGTACATTCAAACTAATGGAATATTTTACTGGCAGACACCACATACCACTCACTGGGCCCATTGTGAATCAGACAGGGAGGCTGCCACTCAGTCCACTGAGCATGACCTCACCGCTCGGGCCACCCCCTCCATTGTCTACTCCCTCCTCGAAGCTGCCCCTGCACAGCAAGCAGCTCATCCCTCCTCCCCCCGCTGACAGAGCCAAGGTACCACAAACCCATGACATGTTTGCCAACAATGTCTACGTCACTTACATTCTGCACATGATAAAAGCCCAGGGGACTTCCTCTGCCATTGTTTTTGAGGGGTTCAGTGGAGAATGCTTCATCGTGGCGATGCAAAAAACTTAAAAGAAAAAAAAAAGACATGAATACTGTATTAAATGGTTTCATCAGGATATGTTTTAAGAGCCCAATTTGGGTCCTATAAAAAGAAGCATCCTACTTAATTAGATTCTTTAACTGAGCGAAGTTATTTACATTTTCTTATCAAAAATGTTTTCCATATCACATAGATAGCACTTTAGATCTTATTTGAAAAATGGGGCCAGGCGTGCCATGTCTATAATCCTAGCACTTTGGGAAGCCAAGGCAGAAGGGGATTGCTTGAGGCCAGGAGTTCGAGATCAACCTGAGGAAGAGCAAGATCCCATCTCTACAAGAAATGGAAAATTAGCCGGGCGTGGTGGCACATGCCTGTAGTCCCAGTTACTTGGGAGGCTGAGGCAGGAGGCTTGCTTGAGCCCAGAAGCTTAAGGTTGCAGCAAGCAATGATGATACCACTGTACTCTAGCCCAGAGTACAATAGACTGAGACACTGACTCAAAAAAAGAAAAAAATCACTGAAAATTTAACTGGCCCTGACTAAGTGGATATATATGTAAGAGAATGAAGACCTGAATTCAATGAATCCCTGTTGCTTTGTAGAAGTTTTTTACGGAAAATTACAATACTGAAATCTTTTCATACAAAAAAAATCTGGTATACTAAAGTTTCTTCAAGACAGTACTAAAGCCTGTGAGTGGTATACTCGCCTAAGAGTCTCTCTAATACCCAGCTAAGGGTGGATTGAAATGTCACCTCTTCCAGGAAGTCTTCCCTTACTTATCCAGACAGTTTCATGTTCCCACAGCAGTACAGATCTATTTTTCCTCAATAGCAATGATTTCACTGTTTGTAATAATGTATTTATATGCCTGTCTCCAACAGACAGCAAGAGTTTTCCTACAAGGCTCAACACACAGAAGACACTCCAGAAATATTTGTTAAACTAATGAGCTATGCTAATTTATTCTGACAAATGGTAAGATTTCATTGTTCTCTCTCCCTCTATATCATTAGTCTTAAATAAAAAGAACTGGAGAATTAAAGAGTATCTAACATAAAGATTTAGTACCAGATAGAAATATCTATCAGATGGATACACCACCTGCAAGAAAAAAAGGAAAAAGAGAAAACACTTTGAATAGGTGGGAGAGAGATCAGCACTATGAACTCCTTGTCTTCCAAGTTAGTTCACTGAGTCTGAGAACAGTAGTGTCCTTTTGTTTTCTTTTTTAGATTAGATGTTGTAAGTAGTAGTGTGCTTTTGCCAAGTGCTCCAAATCACTGACACCATACATTGCTGGCACTATAGCATTCTCATTAGATGCATCTTTTTTCTATTTTCTTTCTTCTCATTTCTCCTTATGTCTTTCCTTTTCCTTTTTCCTTCTCTTCTTACTTTTTCCCCCCATTTTTTTCTTCTCCTGACCATATACTGCACCTACCAGAGGCACCCCATGGTTGATTTCTGATCCACACTCTTGCAATACTTTGCCATGGTAGAAGGTACACATATCCCAGGTTTCCCTGGTGACAGACGAACTCATTCGCATTGCTCTACAGCTGCAGCTTCCCTATACAGGCCGTTTATAAAAATCCAGTCCAGTGTGAGTCAACATGCTCTTTCTCCAGAGCTAACACCAGGTGGAGATGCTGCTCTCTTTTAAAGAGATTTTAGGACAAAGGTCAGCATACTATTACTGTCATTTCAGACATCAGTTAACCAAATAGGTAGTTTCTATAAAATATATGTTACCTTTCACTATTAGAATAAAAAATGTTTTCCAGCCAATTCAATCCTTCTCTAAATTTGAAGCTGTTAGTGAAAACATTAAATAGGTGAAATCAGTACTGGATGGGTAATATTTCAATAATTATGAGTTACATACACCAAGTGATATTAGTGGCTTGCTATGTAGTTATCATACTTAATTCAGGATTTGGCTAAATCTATTTAAAAGAAATGCTTTATAAACACATTAGGACCTGTAAAAGACCAAGGCACATACAAAGGGGAGAAGGAGGGTAAAGCTCTAAACAGCCTCTTGGTGGTACCAATGGCAAAGTGTAGCTTGTTTTTTTTGTTTTGTTTTGTTTTGTTTTGTTTTGTTTTGTTTTGTTTTGTTTTGTTTTGTTTTGTTTTGTTTTAAGACAGGGTCTTGCTCTGTTGTCTGGGCTGGAGTGCAGTGGCGTCATCATAGCTCACTGCAACCTCAAACTCCTGGGCTCAAGAGATCCTCCTGCCTCAGCCTCCAAGTAGCTGGGACTACAGGCATATGCCACTCCGCTCCGCTAATTTTTGTATTTTTTGGTGGAGATGGGGTCTGACTATGTTGCTCAAGCTGGTCTCAAACTCCTGGCCTCAAGTGATCCTCTCACCTTGGCCTCCCAAAGTGCTAGGAGTACAGATGTGAGCCACCATGCCTGGCCCAAACTCTAGGCTTCAGGTATGGTGTGGGTCAGACTTCATTATTTTGGGTACTGAAAAGACATATTTTTTTTTTTTTTTTGCGTCAGCCTAGCTCATAGCAACCTCAAACTCCTGGGCTCAAGCGATCCTTCTGTCTCAGCCTCCCAAGTAGCTGGGACTACAGGCATGAGCCACCATGCCCGGCTAATTTTTTCTATATATATTAGTTGGCCAATTAGTTTCTTTCTATTTATAGTAGAGACGGGGTTCTCGCTCTTGCTCAGGCTGGTTTCGAACTCCCGACCTCAAGCAATCCACCCGCCTCGGCCTCCCAGAGAGCTAGGATTACAGGCGTGAGCCACCGCGCCTGGCCTGAAAAGACATATTGATGTTTGGAGGTATTAAAACTTAAAATTCACAAGAAACTACTTTTTTAGGGTGGTATGGAAACGAAAGCACCTAAAATATAGGTCTCAAGAGGGTCACAGGAAAGGACAAGCTCTAAGTGGATGAGAATTGAAAGCTGTCACACCTTCTCTACATACTAGCTTTTTATAGCTGATATAGAATTTATTGTTCTTTATCTTACTTAGATTTCCCTTTTCTCAAGTATTAAATTGGCACAATTGGTGGCTAGATAATTCACTGCTTCTAGACTTTTTAACTAATAAAACATTTCAGCCTGAAGAGCATTAAAAAGACTAATAATAGGCTTATCTGTATCAGCCCCTACATTCCTGGCAGAGGGGGACAATCCCCAACAGAACCCTCTAACAGGACACATGGCACACTCCTCCTCACAAGGAACCAACCCTCTTTTATTCCAATGTAGGATTCTGGTTCTCACTCCCATCTTGAGTGATGAAAGCGTTTTCCTTCATTGACTGGTAGTCTTTTGTTAATATCTCACATGTGTAAAGCACTCTACAGTGCCTAAAGGACATCATCTTGGTTAGCAGCAAGGTAGGCAGAGCAAAGGGGCAGCTTACTTGAACTGACAGAAGATATCTGCATACTCTGGGAGAATTCCACTGGCCTGCAACACTGTTACCCGGAAAGTGAAGGCACTGCCCAGTTTCAGGTGGTTGCCAATCTCTTCAGAAAACCCTTCCATTACCATCTTACCATCCAGCAAAGTGCTTGACTTCAAATCTAAAGAGGGTCAAATGAATACACATATGGTTCAAATGATGCAAAGAGGAGGGAGCTGGGCATTCTTTCCATTCCTGGTTGATTAAGTGACTATGTCCCTTGATCATGGTCAGTATGTTCCCCTTTGAAAATTTCCCCAAACATTGTAAACTCTGTCTACTTACCCAAGTCATTCATTCGATTTATTTCTTCTGGTGGAGTGATGACCTCAGAACTCTGACCCTGTCCTTCCACAATCCTCAGTTCCTCCAAAGACAGACCGGCACGAGTCATTGCAACAGCAGAAGAAAAGTCACTCTGTAAACAAGGCAGGGGTAGGTATATGGTAAAGTAGTATAAAAACATATTTCCCCCCTGTTTCCTTACTTCCATTTATTTGCTCAACAAATAATAGTGACTAGAAAATTATATGGATTGAAAGCTGTCTGAGAAAAGGCAATACAATGAAAGGTACATGCTGACTCTGTACCTTAGTAATTGTCAGGCATGTCCCTCATTCTAGTGAACAATGTGTAGTCACCAGCATCTTGTACTTTTTAGTTCTAGGTATGGGAATTGGTCCCCAATGCTGAACATTATCCTTAAAAACTCATCTACTTCTTTCTCTTTCCATAAGGTTTTCCTTCTTCCTGAAGGTTTCTCACCTGATTAAAGTACTCATTATCAAAGGATATTTTGGCTGTTCCTGACTGTCGAATTCCGGAGCCATAATCAGGAGCCTCTTCATCCGCTAAGTAGAAAAAAATGAGCAAGAGTAGAATGAGACTACATATGGGGAGGAAGAAGAATGATTCTTATCAGATTATAAAACAAACAGTTAGGTCCTTTTACATAAGAAAGAGAGAATGACACTGAAGTAGCAAAATTACATGGGCTGCTTCCCACTCTATTCATGTACATTTACAAACCTCCTTAGTTCACATGGGACTAGTTAATAAAGAATCAGTTTTATTTTTGAGATTGTTCAAATGTCATACCAAGAAATACTGACCCCCCTCCATCCTGGCAAGATTATATTCAATAATACACAACAAATACTTGAAAATATTACATTATACTTGTGGAGGAGACTTCTATAAACTCAACATTGGTGACTATGTCAAAGGTTTCCATGGGGAAAAGGCTGAAAAGTTGCTAAACAAAGTACATTTGGAATCAAGACAGAAATTACAGGAAATGGTCACATTCTTTTCTCAGAATGTAGGCTAGACCATGGAAAAAAACAGCATCAACCAACCAATCAATCTTTCTTTCTTATTTATTAAAAATTAATCAATTAATTAAGAGACAGGGTCTCATTACATTGCCCACGCTGGCCTCCTAGGCTCAAGCCATCCTCCCCACTCAGCCTCCAGAGTTGCTAGGACTATAGGCTTGCAACTGCACCCAGTTTATATGAGAATCTTGATCCACGCACTATAAAAGTAGCCAAAGAAATGTCTATTATAAGTACCCTGAGAGAAAATGAAGCAAGAAAAAGTACTAAAATCCTTTGTTACTTCTGAATCAGATAAGATACATTATTATTTTTTTCTTGTCAATACTATATTAGGATACATCATTTATTAATAAAATGCCAATGACTTTTATAAAGTTAATCCAAGAGTTGTTCTTTAACATGTTAAAGGAAACCTCTTTACCCCATTATTCCAAAATAGCAGTAGCCAGACTGAACAGAATCTATCATGATACTTGGGAATAATAGCTGGAAAGGAAGCAATAAAGACGTTCCCAAGGCAGACAAGCTCCCCATAGTTTGTACGTGCAATGAGCGTGGCCTACCCAGAACTGGCTGCTTTTGTCTCGAGGCCAAGAACCCACAGTTCTCATCTCAGAGGGGGGGTCACCTACCTGCAATGGCCTGTACAGCCACACGCAGAAATCCCCGCACTTCCCCCTTCTCACTGACAATGGCCACTTTGTGGATCAGGGGCACAGGGTACAGCAGATTGCTCAGGTAAACAAATGCCCTAGAGACAGAAACCAGGAGACAAACATCAGAGCATCCCACAAAGACAGAAGTTGGCTTTCAGATTCACTAGGAATATCTTCATGAAACTGTGTGCTGGCTTCTGGGCCTTGTTTTAAGATCGCCTCTCAGCTGTATATTCTCAGATTGCCTCCACCTGCTTTTTCAGCAGAGAATATATGCACAAATGCACATGCCTGGCAAAGCAGCTGACAAAGACCAAATTACTCTATAAAAATTGCTACTGTGGGTAGAAGAGTAACAATTGGAAGTAGACTTTCAAGATACTGCTCTATGAAAACTGCTGGGGGATGGCTATAGGGTGACAAAGGGGAGCCCATTTAAGAGATTTTAACTTAAGGAATTATAAAGAGGTTTTATTTTGATTTTCCCAATAGATAAAACAGAAATCAGGAGACAAAAAAGGCAGGAAATATGACTGAAATACAGTTAATAACTCTAAAAGAGATTTCACATCACAGCATTATGGGTCTTTGTTTTTACTCTACGAAAGGACTATTCTCTTCCGGTAGGGAGACTGACAAGGTGAGGGCCCCAGACACATACGGGTAGGGAGGCTGTGCAGCCAGAAATTTCTGAGTGATGAGCTTAGAGAAAGAAGACTCTGGGCATCAAGATAAAGGCTAAGGGAGAAGACAACAGCTGCTCCCTAAAGGGTTTACTTTGCTCCTAGAGTCCAAAACTTAATTCATGAATGCATAAATAAAAGGCAAGTTACAGATCCAACACTTTAGATTTCAAACAAACAAGCAAAGTACTTCCTATCATATTTATACTCTTTTTTTCTTCTTTCCTTATTTTGTAGCTATTGATTTTTTTTTAAGCAATAAAAACCGGTGATCACAAAGCTTAAAAGCGTTCATTTCAGTTAGTGGAAGGGAAATAGAATCTAGTTCCTACTGTTACTCCTACCTTCCCACTTGGTATATGCTGATCTTTGAATATAAGGCAAAAGACAAAGACTAAACACTGGCATCAAGAAATCAAACATAACTAAAAGTGACACACATGCCTGTCTACTGCTTTTCCTGCTCTGAAATCTATTTTAAAACAAAGTGAGAAGGAGGATGGAGTGGATATTTGGGATTTCAACTCAAAGTGATGAAAGTTCTAGAAATAGACAAAATTATACCACAGAAAAACAAATGTTAATAAAACTTTGAGAATGAAACATGAATGAAAAGTGAAACAAAAATAACTGCATAGAACATTAAATTAGATCAAATGAAGTCTACTTCCCTTTCAGTCTGCTCCAAAGTGGGAAGGGGAAAAAGGCTAAGGAACAGGGTTCAACCTTTGGTGCACAAAAATTTAAAATGAAGTCTTCTAAAAAGGATTATAAACAAGACCATCAGATACCAACTACCACAACAGGGTTTAAAAGACTAAGAATTTGGCATAAGCTATTAATATCATAACAGACCACTCTCCTCTTCTTGGTTTTTCAGCCAGACTTGCCTACTTCCAATGCCTGGGCTGCAGAAGAGTCACCCCACAAGTCCCCTGCCAGGAGCCCTCTCTGCACTCACTGCCCATGTCATGCGTTTGATTTCACATCTTCAGGTCTGATCTCAGGCACTACACTCTCATAACGGGCTCCCCCAGTGTTATGATCTCAGCAACACATACAATTCTGTCATCATTGTTGTCATTTACATTTATTTGTGTGATTATTTATGTCCATGTCACCCACCAACTGTAAGTCTGTAAGGGTAGGAACTATGTCTGGTTGTTGTTGTTTGTTTGTTTGTTTGCTTTTTGGAGACATAGTCTCCCTCTAGTCTTGCCCAGGCTAGAGTGCAGTAGTATGATCATTGCTCACTATAACCTCAAGCTCCTGGGCTCAAGTGATCCTCCTGCCTCAGCCTCCCCAGGAGCTGGGACTATAGGTGCATGCCATCATGCCTGGTTAATTTTTTCTAGTTTATGTAGAGACAGGGTCTCACTCTTGCTCGGGCTGGTCTCCAACTACTAACTTCAAACAATCCTCCTGCCTCAGCCTCCCAGAATGCTAGGATTATAGGCATGAGCCATCACACCCAGCCCATTTCTGGTTTTGCTTATCACTGTCTGCAGAGGGCTTGGCATACAGTAAATAAACTCAATAAACATCGGTGTAATCCTAGCACTCTGGGAGGCCAAGGTGGACAGATCGTTTGAGCTCAGGAGTTCGAGACCAGCCTGAGCAAGAATGAGACTCCATCTCTACTAAAAAATAGAAAAAATTAGCTGGGAATGGTGGCACATGCCTGTAGTCCCATCTACTTGGTAGACTGAGGCAGGAGGATCACCTGAGCCCAGGTGTTTGAGGTTGCTATGAGCTAAGTTGATGCCACAGCACTCTAGCTGGGCAACAAAGACTCTGTCTCAAAGAAAAATAAATAAACATCTGGTAAGTGTCTTGTGTATTAGGAAATAGGAAAATGATCTATCTGCTATCCTTAAGCAGATTTTCCAGAAAAATGGGTTACACAAGAAGCAGAGAAGTAAATCCATCCAACTTTATAGTAGGTTGACTTTTCGAAGCCAAACTCATGATGGATATTACTATTTACGACACATTTAGATTCCTAACTATATCTAATTTGTTATCTTAAAAATAGCTATGCAAAAATAGGAGTTACTGTTTTTTTAAGAAAGCCTATCATATTCACACACACATTACAATACAGTACTGTTTGAGCACACACTAAATACAAGAATTTCCTTTCTACCTATGGCAATGGCTATTCCAAATGTGGAAGCATTGAAGGCATTATTGTAGATTTCCCTTTTTAGAAAAGAGAATTCTATGATTCTATGGTGGATGCAAGGGCATCAGCTCTGTAACTATATAATCATACACTCACAAGACAGCTCCTTGTCAAGTTACCAGATAGAGTCAAGCTCAAGTGATCCTCTGTCCTCCTGACTCAGCCTCTTGAGTAGCTGGGACTACAGGCACATGCCATCACACTCGGCGAATTTTTTAAATTTTTTGTAGAGATAGGGTCTCACTCTGTTGCTCAGGCTTGAGTGCTGTGGCGTCAGGCTCGCTCACAGCAACCTCAAACTCCTGGGCTCAAGCAATCCTCCTGCCTCAGCCTCCCGAGTAGCTAGGACTACAGGCATGCACCAGCATGCCTGGCTAATTTTTTCTATATATATATTAGTTGGACAATTAACTTCTTTATAGTAGAGATGGGGGTCTCGCTTTTGCTCAGGCTGGTTTCGAACTCCTGACCTCGAGCAATCCGCCTACCTCGGCCTCCCAGAGTGCTAGGATTACCAGCGTGAACCATCGCGCCAGGTCCCCCTGAAGCTTTTTAAGCTGGAATTTTCCTAATTACTCTGCATTTTTGTGAGTCCTTATACTTTGACCTAGCAGACTGAAGGAGAGCAGGGATGAGTGAAGAGAATATGTAAAGGATATATTAGCAGAAAGTTCTGTGAAGTTACACTAAAAATGAAACAAATTTGTCAACATAAAGAAAAATCAGCATAATTATGGTGATATTTACAGAAAAAATGTCAGTTATGGTACTCAGAGAGGCCACAGAATAACCATCCTTTGCCCACTTTGAACCCAGAAGACTAGATTAAATATTTTACATTCATCCCAAATTATGATGAATGGTTCATAACATCCCACCATGCCATAAGAGAACAGCTAAAGGGACAAGCTCTTTTAATTTTCATATAAAGATTCACCAGAGGCAGCCACAGCCAAGAAACAAACGTACAAATGGAATTTCATAAGAAATTGGAAATTTTTACAAGTGCATTTATTACAATTATATGCCAGTAGGGGAAATTCAATCCTGTGAATCACAAAAACAGGAAAGAAGTTATTCCTCTTACACATGCAAGGACCACTAACAACTGAGTGATGTTGAATTATTATAAACTTTGTTTGTAGAGGAGAAATTTAGTCAAGGGCAACAGTGGAGAGCTATCCCTCACTTTACTGATTGCTATCATTTCACCTCTTCCCCCAGTCTCCTGGCAAGGCAAAATTAGTTCTAGAACCTAGGAACCTAAACAAACGGAAAGGTCAATTCCTGAGCCACAGCTCCCTCAATATTTTATGTGAAGATCTAAGTAGAATTGATTGCTTTATACCTACACTTGTATCTGATATGATTAAAAGGAATAAAACTAGAGAGAAAATAATGCACATATCTTGCCAGTTAACTTCCACATTAAGTGGGATTCTGACTCAAGTTTCCATACAACTAATTCAAAATACAAATGATTCTTAGTAGAAGTCTCTACCAGGATACTCATTTTTCTAGTGTAGATGACAGAATATGAAAGATGAAAAAGGTCTTTGAGACTCTTTTTTTCTGCCTATTTTACATTTAAGAACCCAACAGACCTCAGTTTAAACTGCTTGTCTTAAGTTAGTGACAAAGATGGCCTGGGATCCAAGGCTTCTCCTCATAATTAGGCAGGATTCTCACCATGCTACGTAAGATGAAGCTGCTGTCTATTCCTCAGTGTGTGATGGTGTAGAACACATGCGAACAGCTTTAGAAGCTGTGCAACTGCCACTGGAACTAAGTTTATGGCCAGAAACTGGATTTTAATTTCCAACCCTCTTAGAATTATATGGAAATGTGCTGAAGGACCCAGCTATAAAATAAAAAAGCATTATTATCCCATTATTTATACATAACTTTCTCAATTTAAATATAAATCAGCTTCTCTGAAATTCTAAGCATCTAATCGTGGTGAGACATCAGTATAAAACACTCATAGCTATATAATCCATTTATGTTCAGTCATAGAAAACCTGAATACTAAATGCCCCTTTGCCACTGTAAAACTCAGAGACTAATATTATGACCCAAAGTCATAATGAAGGCTTTCATTTCTATCAAAAAAGTTTTCCTTTTCCCCCTGTCTGTAACAGTGATCATATTCTAGTTATGTTGCTCCCACCAGGTGGCCAACACTATACTTTGAGCTAAATTTTAGAACCTATTTCTCTATTGGGTCAGGAGACTCACTGTACTTTAATTTTTTTTTTTTTTTTTTTTTACACAGAGTTTCACTCTGTTGTCCTGGCTAGAGTGCCGTGGTGTCAGGCTCGCTCACAGCAATCTCAAACTCCTAAGCTCAAGCGATCCTCCTGCCTCAGCCTCCTGAGTAGCTGGGACTACAGGCATGCACCACCATGCCCGGCTAATTTTTTCTATTTTTTGGTAGAAACGGGGTCTCGCTCTTGCTCAGGCTGGTCTCAAACTCCTGAGCTCAAATGATCTGCCCGCCTCGGCCTCCCAGAGTGCTAGGATTACAGGCGTGAGCCACTATGCCAGCCTGTACTTTAATTTTTAACTGGTACTTATTCTTTTATTTTTAAATGGTTTCTACAATATGTGATTGTAATGTACCATTAAAGTTAAACTTAGTACTTTAAAACCTGGACATACTTTTTGGTTATTTTTTTTTCATACTTTTTGGTTAACTCAATGAGTGCTCCATTGTTGAACTTGTAATTAAAATTACTTCAGCATGAAGACTGGATGTAGACAAAGACATCAGTATCAGGAACATGTGCACGGAGAGTTCTGCATCACTGGCAGAAGGATGCACGAACTGAGAGCAGAGACAATGCCTCAGTTTGGTGAACTAATCTTAATACAAAGCAGTTTCATGCAGCACTGAACAAATATTCATTGTTGATGGTGTCAATAGATGACTTTCCGACATTCAGTATTATAAAGCCCATAAGTAAAATTTTAGCAGACACCAAAGACCTACAGATAGGCTCAGTGAAATTGGCCAAATAAAGGCATCTTTTTAAAATTAATTAATTTATTAATTTGCTTATGTATTTTTTTTTCTTGTAGAGACAGGGTCTCACTTTATTGCCCAGGCTGGAGTGCAGTGGCACAACCACAGCTCACTGAAGCCTTTAACTCTTGAGCTCAAGTGATCCTCTGTCCTCCTGACTCAGCCTCTTGAGTAGCTGGGACTACAGGCACATGCCATCACACTCGGCGAATTTTTTAAATTTTTTGTAGAGATAGGGTCTCACTCTGTTGCTCAGGCTTGTCTTAAACTCCTGGCCTCAAGTGATCCTCCCACCTTGGCCTCCCAAAATGCTGGGATTACAGGCATGAGCGATAGCATCTAGCCAAGGCACTCATTTTATTAGACAAAGGAGAAACTAGACTTTCCTGATTCTTTTCAGGCCTTAGTAGACTAAGCAAAAAATAAACCCAACAATACTCCTAAGTCCACTTAAGTCCTTTGATTCCTGTAATGCCACAAATTCTTTAGCCTAACCTTGTACTTGCTCTGCTCCCTTTCTCATGTTATCTCCACATGCTTCCTCAAAACACATTCCTTTAAAAAGGAAACATCTAGACTATAATACCAACATTGAACTCAGTATGATTGACTCTTAGCTTTAATTACTTTCTCCTTTAGGGTTTCCTCCTTTAGAACAAAATTATTGGGCAATTTAAGACAAGGGGTCTTCCATAAAGAGTCTTTGCACATTGCTGTATGTTGGGCTGAGTAGACAAAGTACCTTATAAACAATGCCTACAATCTCTCTGTAGCCAGACTGGCATTTATAAAGAGCTTGAAGTAGTGGTGAACTTGGGACAGAGTGTTTGTGAATTGAACTGGCTAAAGTAAGATTATCCAAAACTGCACAAAGAGGCCTTCAGATCAAGAGCTGGTCCCTTTTTGCCTTTCTCACAATAACCTCACCAACCTTCCCACTAAAATGAACCAAGGGGATCGGTCGTAAAACGGGTCATGCCCGTCACTGAAGAGATCTGATCCCTCCTCCGTCCCTGCGTCAGAGCCGGTGTCATCCACGAATGCCTCATCATCAAAATCCTCCATCTCATCTTGCTGCTCGTCAGCCAGCTCAGTGATGTCGGAATCGGCCGTGGAAAAAGTGGGGGAGGGCGTGCGGTCGGCAAGGCGCTCATTCACACAGCCGTGGAAAATGGGGGAGCTAGACACCAGGTAAGATGACGATTAACACAGCCAGGGAGAGAGGAATAGTTCGTTAAACAGGAAGCTATAGATGCCAAAAGGACAGAATCCACTGGGGAATCAACACAATAAAAGCAAATGGAAAAGGAAAAGGATAAAATAAACAATAAATCATCTGGATCAGGTGAAAGGCAACAACAGGGCAGGTTGAAAAAGTTAAGCAAGGACTGACTGATCCTTAGAATAAGAAAAGCAAAGGAAATAAATACATCAGTAGACCACTCCAGGTAAATATTGTGCTATAAAATGTGTATATTCTCCAGTGTGAACAAAAGATTAGCATCCAGGCCTCAAAGGAGCCACTCAAGATTAAGGTGAAATAATAAGGCTTCTAATCTTTAAATCCTCATGTCATCTCATCTCAAAGCAGAAAACAAAATGGATGAAATGGTATATGCCAAAGCAGCATGTGTTTTTCTTGGGTAAGATGTGTTTGGCCAGTTCATCTTTTTAAAAAAAACTATTTTACTATCAGAGTGGAATGAAAAAGATTTACTTCATTTCTACAAAATACTATGACTTCAGCAACTCCTTTTGACCTAGTACCTTTAAAAAAAAAATCACAGGGTTTTTGCAATTGCAAAATAATTCAAATTCTGAAATCATTAAGCTCAAACTTAAATTTCCCTGCTTTAAAAATTCTAAACCTTAAGAACTTGACTCAATATGGACTCACAAGGCCAAGCACAGTGGCTCACACCTATAATCTCAGCGCTTTGGGAGGCTAAGGCAGGAGAATCACTTGAGTCCAGGAGTTGAGACCAGCCTGGGCAACAGAGTGAGACCCTGTCTCTATAAAAAATTTAAAAATTGCCTGGTATGGTAGCACACACCTGTAATCCCAGCACTTTGGGAGGCTGAGGCAGGTGGATCACTTGAGCCTAAGAGTATGAGGCTGTAGTGAGTTACAGTCACACCACTGCACTCCAGCCTGGGCAACAGAGTGAGATCCGGTCTCTTAAAAAAAAAAAAAGATGGACTCACAGAGGCACTACTTGTTTTCATTAAATGTTGGAAATGATCTATATACAAATGAGGCTCAAGGAGACTAACAAAGTATGCAATTAGTTCACCCTTGGCAGTAACTAAATTGGGATGAATTGCTTCAAAAAAAGTTGAGGACAAATCAGATCATGAAGAGATTGCAGTTTGACAAGCCATACTATGATTTTAAACTGTGCAGGATACAGACATAGGTTTCCTTTTTCCTTTAAATCTACCTTTCATTTTATTCATATTTCTCTTTAGAAATAACAATCAATCCTCCTGCCTCAGCCTCCCAAAGTGCTGGGATCACAGGCATAAGCCACTGCTCCTAAATCTATCTTAATCAATTGTAAAATATTTTGTGAGTAAACTGAGAGCCAGGGAAGACTGTCAGGTTCAAAGTTTGAGACTCAAAATAAACATGCCTGTTAAATAAAACAAAAGGGAAATAAATATACCAAGTAACACAGTGTTTGTGTGTGAGTAGGTAAGATTATAGACAGGGCTTTTTTATACTCTTTTCTTTTAACTTTTTATAATATCTGCTGAGATTTTAAACAATTAGAAATATTTATTATTTAAAAAGAAGACATCAACAAAATTATCACATACCTCCCGACAAGTTTGAACCAGTGGAACCGATCATAGAACGGATCGCTGCCAGTTACAGTGGTGTCGCTTTCGTCTTGGGCACTGGAGGCCATCTCCCCTGCCCTGTCATACATCTCTCGCATCAGATCCAGCCTCTGCCTATTTAGTAAACATAAGGTACACTGGGTTAATATCATGAGATTGCATTACAATTTTGCTTTGGAATCATCTTCCATGCAAGTTTCTTTTTAAAAAGAGACTGCTCTTACCATTTAATGTTATTTAAAAAGAATGAAGGCCAAACTTATAGAAACCAAAATAGCATCCAAAGTGTCTAAGTCTAGAGAAAGCCACCAAAAGTCAAGAATGGCAACCTGTCCCCACAGTCACGATGGTCACAGGGGAAATATAGTTCAATGGCACATGACATCTCAAATACACTGAGGTAGCGGGAAGTATCTCATCACACTAAATGTGAAGGGAGCTATGTTATAACCTCCCTGTTTATTTGTGATCATCACGAGGTCCAGAACAGAAAAGATGAGTAATGTCTAGATCCAAGGCAGAAATAAATATGGAATGGGAACATTTAAAATATAAAAGAACATCTCTGGAGGGTAAATTTACATATCTACAAATGTCAAACGTGTTTGAGGCATGGGATTAATTCACTTAAAAGAAAATGGATGCGTGTTGGTATTACTGGCCCAACAACAGCATAAGAAAGCACAGAAACGGAAGCAACAGTGGCTCGTCCGAGTTCAATAATCTTTACAACTAATGGATCACAACTAGTTATAGATTTCATTCTTCCTTCTCTACTCACACTGCTTCACTTGACTAGCCTTTAAAAAAAGAATAAAAAGCAAGCAACACAGAGGAGAGTTTGAGGGAGCCCACGTGAGCAATTCATTATTATTTCCTAAATAAAACAATCAGCTTTTATGAATGTTTTCATACTTGAGTTTCTCCAAAGACCAATAATGTGTTGCTCCATTCTTCAAATCCTGAACTTCTACTGCCACCACTGTACGAGGGAAAGGCCTATCCTCATGAGTTTTTTCCATCTCAGTGGGAAGTAATTCGGGAGGCAAAGGGGAGTACAACGTGTCAGTCAGCAGCACAAACTGAAACTGCACCTGAATGGAAAGAATCCACAAATGGTTTTCAGCAAGTAAACTTCACAGATGAAGCAACAGAATCATGCCCAATAGGAAAGAAAGAGGTCGAACATGTACTATTTGCTCAACAAATAGCTTGTGACTAACTGAAAACAATGGCCACCTGTATAGTAATCATAGGGAATAATCCTAATTTCAAATTCAGCTATTTACATACTTTGTTTTCCTAGCCTAGCAAACTAAAATCTCAAAAAACATATTATATACTCTGGGAGGCCAAGGCGGGCAGACTGTTTGAGCTCAGGAGTTCAAGACCAGCCTGAACAAGAGTGAGACCCCATCTCTACTAAAAAAAATAGAAATTATTTGGATAACTTAAAATATATAGAAAAAATTAGCCAGGCATGGTGGCGCATGCCTGTAGTCCCAGCTACTTGGGAGGCTGAGGCAGGAGGATCACCTGAGCCCAGGAGTTTAATGTTGCTGTGAGCTAGGCTGATGTCACGGCACTCTAGCCTGGGCAACAGAGTGAGACTCTGTCTCAAAAAAAAAAAAAAAAGTGTGTGTGTGTGTGTGTGTATGTGTATATATATATGTGTATATATATATATATGTGTGTGTGTGTGTGTGTATGTGTATATATATGTGTGTGTATATATATATTATGTATATATGTAGTTGACTGAATGAAGACTTCTGTGGATCTTATACAAGAGACAAAAAGCAGCTGAGGTGCAGTGGCTCATGCCCATAATCCTAGCACCTTGGGAGGCCTAGGTGGGAGGATCACTTGAGCCCAGGATGTTGCAGTGAGCCATGATGATGCCATTGGACTTTAGCCAGGAAACACAATGAGACCCTGTCTCAAAAATAGAGGGGAAGGGAGGGGGGGAGGGGAGGGGAGGGGAGAAAAGAGACCAAAACGTGGACCCAAGAATGCATCTCTAATCCCTTAGTAATGAGGGAGGATGGAAACACATCAAGGTTTTCCATTTCAAATTCAGAGATTACAACTACTACTCTTAAAGTGTTTACTATACAGTAAGTGCTTTGCATGCATCATGTCATTTATTTCTCACTAACAACTTGTATTTTCACCAATATTAAATGCTAGGCACAGTAGTCAAAAACAAAAAAAGAGTTATTGCCGGGGAGGGGGGAAATGGGCATTTATTGAAACCTTAAAATCTGTTTCCCCATAATATGCAGAAATAAAAAAAAAAAAGAGTTATTGCCTTTATTTAGTCTACTTGAAGAAGGGAGTGGTCAAAAATAATAACAAAATGACAAGGGCTGCTGAGATTATGAGTGAAGAAGACATCTTATCCTCAGTTTAAAGAACTAGAATATATCCCTAGGAGAAGATAATGAATTTCTCCAAAGTCAGGCAGTTTGTGCTCTTACCTACTATACAATACAGTCTCCCACTGTAATCTCAGCAGTTAAGAGACTGTTAAACAGTGGGGCATGAAGGCTGAATCTAAGGTTTGGTATAAAGTTCTGGTAATAATTACAAAAACAGATAACATTCATCACCTTTTGCCATTCCCCAGCGCAATTTTATTTTTTTTAAGATAGGGTCTCACTCTGTTGCCTAGGCTGGAGTGCAGGGGTGCATGATCATAGCTCACTGTAACCTCAAACTCCTGGGCTCAAGCAATCTTCCCACCTCAGCCTCCCAAAGTACTGGAATTTCAAGCATGCGTCACCATGCTCAGTCCCCCCCAGCACTATTTTAAGTGCTTTATGTGTATCTTATTCACACTTTTCATTTCTTGCAATATCCCTTGGTGGCAGTCACTGTTGCTAACCCGATTTTGCAGATGGTGGAGGAGATGCACAGAGCTATCAGAGTCAACGCAACTCGTGGAGGTGAGCTGCACCCTGGACTGTCTGGCTACACACGTGTCCACTACACAACAGTGCCTCCCAGACCTTAGAGGAGGAGCAAATTAGTGGCAAAGGGACACAGAGGACTTAGAGGTACAAACTTAATGATAGAAAACTAAAGGAAAATTAAGACTTTTTAGAAACCCAAAAGCATTTTTCTACTATTATGTTTCTCTAGCTCTTGTCAGGAATACAGTCTCCTCATCTATAAAATATGCTAGAAAACATCTATTTTTAAGAAATTTTTATTTAATAAAAATTTAATTAGTGCCTACTATGTTTCAGGCATATATATTAAATAAAGGCATATATAAGGCAGTTTTATTGCACAAAGCAGCTGAGTTCCCCCAAGGGAAAGGTTAGTTCAAGGTGATAGCCCAGATGCACCCATGGCAGGCTCAGCTTTGCCTCCCAATTGCCCATGTTCTCGCATCCTCCATACCTTCTTCTTCAGTTCCACGCTGATGGCGTTAGCCTCCTTTAGGTACACAGCATTGCCCCAGAGTAAGTCCCTTAATGAAGTAAACTGGTGAGACTTCCATTTCCGGAAGGCCCACTGGGCCAACTCAAATTCATGCTGTGTCCAAGGAACTGAAAGAACAAATGAAGCATGTTTAATGGTGATCTCATAACTACACACACAACACAGCCCTCCCTCGACCTTGTCTCTTTTATCAAGTGGAGGTATTTTCCCATTTCTTTCATTCAGTTTCTTTTGTTTTTCTTCTTTTTAGTAAAGCTTACTAATTCTGTTGATTTTATGAAAGCAATATACATATTTCAGAAAACCTAAAAAATCCTACTCCTGTATTTATTTAAAATGGTACATCAAAGAAACAGATTTCTCTTCCTTTTTAAAAAAATATATAATTATACTGTGTGGCCATAATAAAAATAATACTCTTGCCCCCTGGTATGTTGTACAACTTCACATATTTCTTTTTTTTTTTCTTTCTAGTACAGGGGAAAAAGGTACTATTTCACTTAGTTAAAAATAAAGAATTCAGCACATAAATTAAGAGTTCCTTCAAAGTTCATTTAAAGTCTTGAAATTACTAAGAAGTTGGGTGGAAAAAGAAAGTGTGATGAACATTCACATTATATTATAAAGGAATACTTAATAATGAAAGCCCTAATTCAGCTAAGAAATCCTAGAAAACTTAGGCAAGCATAATTAAGCAATGTGATTAGAAATATGCCAGAAATGGCTTTAAAATACACTGATACATTCCAAAGTCCTCACTGGCAAATCTCTGATATAAGCAAATTAAACAGACTATCTTAATAAAAATTAAGCTCTATATTTATTTACAACAGATACATGAACTTCATATGCACAGAAATACTGGACAGTACATGTAAAACTCCCTGAGAGATTTATATGAAGACTGTGCTCAGCAACCTTGTGAAGTTCTAAGGAACACTATCAGCCCCACACCCACCTCATAAAATACAGTCTGGATTCTCAGCATTGAGCATCTTTTAAAGCATCTTTAAATTGGCTCAGTAAAATGTTGATAAATGGTACAGCCAACCCTGAAGAATCCAGCTTTAGTCATAGAAAAAGGACTAATTTGATACTATAGATTCAAAAGATATACATAGGAAGGTTGTGGTCTCTAGATTTCACCTTCTTCCTCCTCTTCTTCCTCTTCAGTTGTTTCTGCAGCTAGGGATCTGGTCTCAACCTGCTTCTGCAAGGCCTGCAATTTACTCTCATAGTCCTGAATGAAAAGAAAGGAGATAACATGTAGGAGAGAGGAGAAATAAGAGGGAGGGAAAAGAGAAATGGAAGGAATATTGAGCAAAGTAAAGAAAGCAAAGGACAAAGAGAGGCAGAGGAGGAAACAATTATGAAAAGAGACATACAGAGAAATGTTTAGGGGAAGAAAACACAAAACACACAAGATGTAATAGGTAAATGCTAAAAAGAAAAAAAGTTTTTCACTGTAGTCTGTTTCTACTGCCTTAAAGACTCAAGAGTTCTTTATTTGAGGTATGGTAGGAAAAGATGGGATGTTGAGGGGAAAAATGCATTCATCACTTAAATGTTAAAATACATTTAAGTAATATATCTTACTCATCAAGGGATTCCAGAGAAAAACAATATTAAAAAATTAAAATCACTAGTATCACCAAAGTCCCATCTATCTGTTTGGAAAGGGAAAAAAAATTAGGATTGTAGACTCTGAAACTCCCTGTGAGTGAAAAATTACTATCTTTGCAGTGGTAGGATGAGTTTAGCCTTCAGGTAACCAAAAACCTCACAGTTGAAATAATTTACAGACTGCATTTAGTTATGCAAGAAAGATACTTTATTTTAAATATACTATTATAATATAAAATGGATTACTATGATACAAATCAGATTTATCCTTCATTTTTCAATTTCCTCCATGCATTTTCAGTAAGAGGAATACCACCCCAAAAGGCATCAAAAATGGTTCTCAGGGGATGAAAAAACTTACTCTTTTTACATATAATGCACAGATATATATACAGTATACAAATAGATAATAGTATATATGAGGTATTAAAATATCATGGTGAGGAGATTATGGAACAATTGTCTAAAAAGGCTCCTTAGAGTGTTAAAGGAAAAAAGCCCAAATTTTAATTAAAATTAAACAAGCATGGTTAGGAAAAAAGATCTTCACATAATAAAATACTAAATTATAGTACAATCATAGCATTTTAAGATCCACTACCAGGGTTTCCTGCTTCCTTTCGTTCCTTAGCAATGACCCTATTACAGGCTGCCATGAGACAAAGGGTTTAGGTTTTCTTTTCTTCCCTTTTTTTTTTAAAATTTTTTAAGCACTTGATCATATAAACAGATGCATGCACTGTTTTCAAACAGAGTTCTCCAAGTCATACATCAAACATTCCATGTATTGCAAAGCACTGCTGAAAGCCTCCTTAGCAAACTCCATTACAAAAGGAGCTCCAGATGGCAGTGCTCAGAGGGATGCCAACATTCTCTAAGGTTCTGGTCATTTATCAGTTAGTCTCACAAAGGAAGTGTTCACTCTTTAGTGGGGCTGGCAGTGACCAAGGCGAAGAACCAGCGACATGGCTTTATGAGATATCCAAACATACTTTTTAAGATGCTACGTACAGTGGTAAAAGAAAAAAAATTAAACTACCAAGTAAAATATTTGGGTTTGGGTCCTGGCACCTGTTCTTACTAGCCTTCTAATTCCAGGAAAGCTAAATCCTCTCTAAATCTCACTTTCTTCATCTTTAAACAAAGATTTTAGCATTTGATCTTCCTACCACACAGGACTGCAGAAAGGATGATAAACCATTTAAAAAACATGGAAGTCAAAAAAACAAAACAAAACAAAACAAACAAAACACGGAAGTCTTCCTAAATGGCAACACACTATCAAAAATGACAGGAAATGTTTTTAGAAAGTCTATTTCTAAGCATACCTGGCACCCAGATCTTGGTTTCTACATATACCACTGCCCACTAAATGGACCCAGGGATCCTTGAGAAAATGGCTGATTCAAGGTTTGGAGCAAGGAAAGTATAAGGTAAACCCATAATATCTCATGCCAGAAATGATGGAAGAACTCAAAGACTGCTGGGAACAGTTCAAGAGGACACAGGCTTCCACTGGCTAATAAATTGAAGAAAACAACAGAAAAAGAATACAGCACATTGAGTATAGAAAGAATCCATGAGCTCATAGTGCATACAGCACATTGAATATAGAAAGAATTCATGAGTTCATACTGATACTAAAAGAAGAAGAAAAAAGGGGGGGAAACTCTTTTAAAAAATAAGCTATTATCAGCTACATATGTTAATGTTACAGAAAAAAAAGTGAATAAATTTAATAAATTTTAAGTTAAAATTAATAAAAATTAAAAAAAAATAAGCTAGCTAATTGTTGGGCACAGTGAGAAGCACCTGTAGTCCAGCTACTTGCCAGGCTGAGGCGTGAGGATCCATCACTTGCGCCCAGGAGTTCAAGGCTGCAGCACCCTATGATGGTGCCTATGAACAGCCACTGCACTCCTGCCTGGGCCATATTGCAAGACTCTGTCTCAAAAAAAAAAAAAAAAAAAAGGCTAGAAGGAACAACAAATGGAAAATCACCATACTGTGACCCTAGATGCAGTAACCAAATCAGGCAAGAATCATTAATAAATGACAAAATAACTGGGTGAAAGATGAATGGGAAAAAGAATATTCACATTATCCGAAGTCCACCCCCAGATACCTATTAATAAGATGGGAAATTATATATTTACAATGGAGAGGGCTGGGAAACATCACATTAACCAAATTTATTAAACTTTAACATCATCAATAATAGGACAAATTGACATTTTATGTCTACTGATGTGATGCAATGGAAAGTACACAATGTTACCCTTATCACGCTTACCAAAAATGTTTAACCTAAATTTAATCTTGAGGAAATAACCAGGCAAGTCAGAATGTGGCCTACACTCTCCAAAAATACCAGTGTAATGAAAGATAAAAAACATCATGTCCAAATGAATGTAAAAACCTTGATTGGATATTGGATTAAAGCACACATGCACACACACACTCTCTCTCACAGTCTTCTTTTATATTTTTGAAATAATTAGGGAAATCTGAAGATGAGCTGTATTATTACATAATACTAAAATCTGTATTAAATTTCTTGGATGGCATAGTGGTATTAAGAGAATATCCTTGGTTTTAGGAGATAAACAGCATCATTTGGGGTAAACTGTTATGGTACCCACAACTTTCAAATATTTCAGAAAAAATATGTAAATGTGGGTATATAAAGGTTCATTGTACTATTTTTTTTTCCAGACACAGTCTCACTCTGTCACCCAGGCTACAGTGCAGAGGCACAATCATAGCTCACTACAACCTCAAACTCCTGAGCTCAAGCGATCCTCCTGGCTCAGCCTCTAGAGTAGCTAGGACTACAGGTGTGCACACCACCATAGTGAGCACACCACCATGCCCGGCTAATTTTTCTTCTATTCTTTTTTATAGAGATGAGGTCTTGCTATGCTGCCCAGGCTGGTTTCAAACTCCTGGGCTTAAGTAATCCACCTCAGCCTCCCAAAGTGCTAGGATCATAGATGTGAGCCACGGGGCCCAGCCATTGTACTATTTTTTTCAGCTTCTCTCTAGATTTGAAATGTCTCAAAATAAAACATTGGGAAATGGGAAATTTTTTCTCTATATAAAAACTATATATTACATAGAATTCTTTCAGCAAAAAGAGAAAGGCTACTGGGATACCTAAAAATCATCAGGTGGAATAAATATTAATGTTTCACCTTGAGGATTTCTTCAAGATCAAGTTCACAAGCTAGTCAAAGTAAAAATGAACACAAAATCCTTAGACTCTGACAGTTAAGGTATGAGATGACCTTCCCGACAGTCCCTGTTGTGCTTTAGTGACAATAAAATTGACATAAAATACTTCCCATAGCCCCATGGACCTAAAAATTTTGACTACATTGGGACCAGCAATTGGTAGTCCAAATAGCAACACCATTTCTTAAATTCATCCCCCCTCCCCAAGTCAGGTCACTTAGCTTCCAACAAGGACACTTTGTATGTCACTATTTCATACTACAAACATATACAGATTTAGATACTATTGTTCTGTCCATTTCATGGTGAAAACCAGGATAATTATGGAATGCAAACTAAAAAATAACGTATTTTTTAGTAGTCATTTCTGTTTACATAATAAAAAGTCCTAACTAGTTCAAAATATGCCCCATATTTATAAAGGCACAACACTGGCTATTTCTTCTTATAGAATGTTCTCTTCTCTCTACCCACCTTTGTTTTTAATCTTACTTTGTGTCAGGCACTGTTCTTTTCCTTTTTTTTTGAGACAGGGTCTCTCTCCATCGCCCAGGCTAGAGTGGGGTGGTGTCATCATAGCTCACAGCAACCTCACACTCTTGGGCTCAAACAATCCTCCTGCCTCAGCTTCCCAAGTACCTGGGACCACAGATTTGCTTCCACACCCAGCTAATTTTTTCTATTTTTAGTAGAGATGAGATTTCGCTGTTGCTCAGGGTGGTCTCAAACTACTGAGCTCAAGCAATCTTCCCACCTTGGCCTCCCAGAGTGCTTGGATTATAGGCGAGAGCTACCACGCTCGGCCTAACATGGATTATTTGAACCTTCTCAATAACCTTATAAAGATACTACTATAGTTAATCTCATGCTAAAGAGGAAGAAAAAGGCTTAAAGAAACTGAGTACCTTTCCAGAGACCACAGAGTTAAACAAGTGGTGGCAGAAATGGGACTTGAACCCAGGCAATCCAGAACATCGTTTGTTTTGTTTTGTTTTTGAGGCAGGGTCTTGCTTTGCTGTCCAGGTTAGAGTGCAGTGGCATCATCATAGCTCACTGCAACCTCAAAGGATCCTCCTGCCTCAGGCTCCTAAAGTGCTAAGATTATGGATGTGAGCCACTGCACCTGGCCTGGAGCATGCTTTTTAAACCATTATCCATCTATCCCTCCATTCAACAAATACTTTTTGTGCCCCTCCTTTGTGCCAGATGCCAGGAATAATTAGTGTTCAATATGACAAAGGCCCCACTGGCAATGGAGAGAAAGAAAGACAAAGAGTAAACAAAGTATACACTATGATTTCACTGCAGAGGGCTACTATGAAGAAAGATAAAGGTAAGATTAAGGGTTAACAGGGAAAAGAGAGGAATAGGAGGAAAACTTTT